GGAACCGAGCGGAACCGAGCGGAACCGAGCGGAACCGAGCGGAACCGTCGGTCTCGGCTCGCTGTCCGCTGAAAGGGCAGTCCCCATGGGCCCCGCTGGTGGGAGCTGACGGCGCTTCTTAGGAAGCTACTTTTTTGATCGTCGTAGAATGGCTTAGTTTCGAAAGAGACCTTAATGGTCGTCGAGTTATAGGTTACAATAAAGTACGTCAACTCATTTTCTTTGTGGAATCGCAATCGTCACAAGATGATTGGCATCTTCTAAGCAGCGGAGCGTGCCAGCAGCTTTCATTTTGTGTTCTCAGGGGCCGTGCGGCCCTTCACTCCTTAAACCATTCACATTCACGAGCGCCCTGCCTGCTCCCGGTGCGAGGATCGCTCCCTCGACCCGCCGTGCCCCTCAGCACCCTGCTGTCACCCTGCCATGGGGAGCTCCCACGTCCCTCCGGCACAGCCGGGAGCCTCGCATGTGTTGGCTGCATCACCAACTGGTGAAAAAATAAGAGGTAGATGGGGGTGCTCACCTGTGTGTGTGCACCAGCTCTTGTAACAGGTAAAGCAGCTGAAATAATTTCTGAATTGTTCCTCAGTGAGTAAATCAGGAATTTGGAAACAAACGGGTACTATGCTCTCTCACAGCTCTCGCGTTCTGTAACAGAAAGTTGTGCAAATTGCAGATGTCAGGAGCTGACTGCCATGGACTAGAGAAGGGCCGACGTTTGCATTCAAGGTGAGGGCCCCATACACTATAACACAACAGATAAGGGGCAGAAATAGCAGTGATATTGTTACCCACTTCCTGCAGTAGAATGCTGTTATTTCTGACCAGAAAGAAAGTAGCTGTTGGTTACAAAATCTTCCCCATTTCCTCCCTCACCCACCAGCGTGTGCTTCCAGATGAGTGAAGGGGAATTTGCTTGCAAAGCCTCCCATGGGCACAGCCTGGTCTCTGGGCAAGCACTGAGAGCCTGCATCTGTCCCTGCCTGTCATGAGAGGAAACAGACACAAAAGGCAAGGTTTGGAGGCACGATATTAAAATGTAGACGAAAGCAGAGGATTTTGATGCTTGGAAGCTGTGAAACATCTCTGCATAAGGCCTGCAAAGGGAGGCTTTTATTGTAACCCAGGGTTGTCTCAGATAATTAGCTTTAAAATCTAACTCCAGCATGAATAAACTAGTGCTACCAAGTTCATCTTACTGCCACTTCCACACCAAGTATATCACCTTGTGGCTATGGAACGTTAAGCACATCTTGGTGCTGCCTTGGGTTGCTGCCACAGGCACCTTTTGCTCATCACATTAAACATGTGAACAGCTGGAGAGAGCAGGTGCACATCTTCAACCACAGAATTCCCTTCAGTGAGGTGCACCTGCTGGTGCTGCCCTGCTGCCAGTGTGCTGGAATGAAGGAGCTGGGGATCTGTGGGCTGGCTATGAGCTAGGCATAGGTCATGGCAAGGCTCGTGGGATAGGGCCATGAGCAGGAGGCCAGGACTTGCCAAAATAATCATCAGTACAGTATGTGGGCACTGTAGCCTCACTTTATTGAAAATGGTGGGTGTTGGGTTTGTTTGTTTGTATGTTTTTGCTGTTTTTCTCTTAACAGCTCACATTTAAGACATCAGTAAAGGCCTGCTGCAGTATAATAGTAATTTAACATCACCACAACATAAAGACAGTAAAGAATTAGAAGACTCCAAGTGAACAGAAATATTTTTAGGCCCAAAATTACACACGCAACACCCAGCATCTACCACAAGATCAAGGTCTTCCCTTGCTGCAGTTAACAGGAAACACATCATACAGTGTTATGTGTTCAGTGAACGAACAGACTTTAGGGCACCATACAGATGCCCTGACTAAAATGCAAAGACCCACCAATGGGAAGAGGTTTGCTTGAACAGTGAGGAGGGGAATGAACCACCAACACCTGCCTAGGCCGAGGAAGGAAATGTGTGCATACATTTAGAACTGTGCAGCAGCTCAGGGCAGAACACCAGCAAAGACCTCCACAACCATATACTATGCTTGGACTTTCAGGCAGAGAAGATGAACACAAACATATCCAGGACTTTTTTAGAACAAGTGCAGCTCTTTGCCCAAGGGTCCCACCTGCACAAAATTAGCGGACAATTCCCTTCATTTACTTTTACATGTTAGGTTTATATTTTATGTTGAAGAATCATTCTCTAAGTGTCACTGTTTAATGTGTGTGGTATTGGGCTCTGCTCCTTTCCATTTTAGATGCATTGTGCTACAGAATCTGCTAGAATCTACTATCAATAATGAGTGCCTGACAGTGCTGTGAGTGCAAGCCATAGCTCCCCTCCTGCTGGTGACTGATCCCCTTTCATAAGCTAAATCCCTTGGATGTTTGATAAGTGAGAAACCCTGCAGGGACTTGTCCTCATCTTTATTCTTGTAAGTTTTTTATTATTCAGAACACTGTTGAAAGAAAATTAAAATCAGGAAAAGGGTAGGAGAAAGCAAGGGGGAGAGGAGGGGAGAAACAGTCCAAATCAGCTGGGCTTAAAAATTACGTATAACAAATTTGCCAGTGTGATTAAACCTGTCAATTATTATTATCAAATTAGAATTACAAGATCGTCCCTGCATGCCTTAGATGCCTTCTAAGAAGTGGCTGTAAAGGCAGTTTTACTTCAGGGAATGAGCATTTCAAAGAAGGACTGGACTGACATTCGAATGGCAGTGCTGTTCTGAAAACACATAAACTCAGTAAAGTTCTCTGTAAACATAAGATCACAAGATTTGTGAGGGTTATTGTTGGAACTGGTCACAAGTTGTCACTGGAAGAGTTTTATGCTAGTGGGAGCAGAACGCTGATTTTACAGAAGTGAGTATTTTGGAGGAGCAAGTTAATTCTGTCTCAACTTGTGGTAGAATACAAGCAGACAGAGCAGTTAGGAGGTAAGAGAGGCAGAGCCAAACACAGCAGACAGGCAAGGCAGGTAGGGCAGGGCACGTGAGGCAGGCAGGCAGGACAGACAGGGAAGTCCACTGAATCCCCTGACTACCACCTTTTGGCAATGCACTCAACTGTCTGCCTACCTCCAACCATTCTGTCTTGCCTCACTTGCTCACTGTTTTCAAACAGTTCTGAAAATAGTTTCTGAAAATAGTTTCATCTTATCAAAGCAGTCCTGAAAGAAAGGAGGGAAGCTATCTAGGGAACAAAGTCAGTGGATCTGAAAAGGATTCAACTGTCCATTTTTATTCCAACAGTTTTTTTTTAATGGCACTTTTGACACAGTGCAGTTATTTTCATTGCTAAAACATTAAGTTAACTCCCATATGCTAGATTGGCCAGGACCCTTACACTTTTCCACTGTCATGACCACCCCAGACCAGCTTGGCCAGCTTTTCTGGTGGTATCAGACCCCACATGCTGAGTGCCAGTTTTCTGAAGCCTCATATACGGTGCAAATTACTTGTAACAGTGAGATATCTAGGATATTTATCTGCTTACCTATGGCTGTGGTGTGTAACTTGCTGTATTAACTGCACATCAGTTTAGGTATCTTCTTGAAAATTCTGGTAAAACCTTACAAATCAGCTCTGTGGTTAGAGAAGTACTTTGGTTTATGCAATGCTGGAGGTCTAGGGTTAAATAAGAACAGACTTTCATAACGATCCTTTTTGATCTCAGCAGATTATGGAATGGCTTTCATTAGACATGTTCAAGAACAGGTTAGACCACCATCTGCCACTGATGCTATCATGGCAGTGCTGAACTCACTTCATTGTTGATGATCTGTCTCTTCCAGGCCTGTATTTCTGTGGTAACTTAAGGGTTTCCTAGCATAATGAAGAATAGTTCAACTGTTGATTTGCACTCCAGGACACATGTCAACGTGGCCAGAGCTACAGCAAATATGTGGCAAGTCTGCAAAATCAGGGATTCACTGATGAAAGTTTGTTGTATATTCAATTGAAAACATTGCAGTTTATTACTTCACCTGGACATCTCCCTGCTTGTTCACTCAATAGTCTGCACATTCAGTGTGTCATAACTTGGAGTCAGAAATGTGGAACTTTTGCTGGAGACTTGTGAGGACAACAGCCTTACAGGTCCATATTAACTCCCGTGGAAAATAACCATTACGTCTTAATTTAAATTTCTTAAGTCTAAAGAATCTCTTTTCTGGGTGTCTTTGATGAAGATTCAACAGAAGAATTTGTTAAACGTTATTTACACAAAGCAGCAACCTTGATACTCTTGGCCAGGATATGCAAAATATATAAAAACTATGCAAAGGTTTTAGTTTCTTGAAGGAGGGAAAAAAGAAACATACAGGAGGAAAAAAAAAACCACAAAAAAATCCCATTACTTTTAAAGGCATATCTGTAAAGTGGAGGTAGTATTCTCAAATGTGGGCGTTTAATGATGTTGAACTTTGCTGTATCGTATAAAGGTACTTTTCTTGTTAATCACTACATATGTATTACTTGCCTGGAGTTATTTGGAGCTATTAATTGGTACAACGTTCCACCTTGGCTTGCACTATTTAACATAGGTAATGTGGTAATGTGATAATGACTCTCAGATTAACAGTGTTTCTAAACTAGAGCCCAATTTTAATTCACAGTAATGTTTGAAGTCTATCAGTCTGATGAGGCAGTAACTTGCTAAGCACAGCAATCCAGTTAGTACAAAAAAAGAGAAATGCTGATGTCTAGAATCAGGGAGGATGAAGCGCTGCACTTTCGTAGAGGTTTTAGTGCTGTGGAGACAAAGGAGGAGCAGGAAGATGGGATGATGCAATTCCTTTAGCACCAAGCTCTTAACCGCTTTGGCTGAACAAATGCAAACACTAATTTATTTAAAGCCTGTTATGAAGACTTACCTTACGGAAAGATGCAGGACATCAGCCATAAAGTACCATTTTGCACTATCAAGTTTTGTTTCTGTGGATTAGGCTCGAGGTTGAAAGAAGTAAAAGACTGCAATTTAAGGGAATTATTCTAAAGTCTGCAGTTTGTCAGCATGGAATCCAAACTCCTGGTGCCTATTGGTTTTTGATTGCCCAACCTCTCTGGGTCTGACACTGGAAGAAATGAGCATTCATTAGCCCAGTCAAGCTGAGCCTTAGCTTTACATCTGTTTGCCCTTCTGCTTGATGCTGGATCTTATTATTAAGATCAACAAGTTGAAATATCAGCTCAGGTGACTGCTGCATGCAGTAGAGCATTTATCAGCAGTGGCTGTAGGGAGAGGAAAGCACTTTTTGGTGTAAGGTAGCCTCACAGCCCAATTCATAGAGCACCGTCTGTTAGTGACAGGCCACAAGCATTATGCTGTCTTTGCAAGGCCTGAGTCTTGTCAGGATTGCTTTATCTGAACTTGTCTCAACCTGCCTGGAGCTGTGCCTTGGCTTGTTCATCCGTGAAAGCAATTTTTAGAATGAGTAGAAATTTCAGGCATAACATGGACTTACAGGCCAGTGAAGAGAACACTGTTCAGTCTGTTAGCAAATATAAAATGCTCCTACAAAAGCAAACGAAGAGTGAGGGAAAAGACACCATCAACGTCACAGACACCCAGACACACAGACACAAGACGGGCTGTCAGAGTACTGACAGCTGGCAATATTTCCTTTCTACTCCCATTGGCAGAAACCCTTAGACCCTGAAGATCAGTGCAAATGCAAGGAAAACATCTACGAAAAAGGGGCAGATAGTAGGAAGCATGTGTATGTATGACTTTTACCTTACTGATACATTCTTTTCTCTCCTTTCATCTCTCCTCTCCTTTATTCTTGCTTCTCCTTTTCCCCCATAACAACTAGATCTAGACTAATAACAATTAATACATCAGACTGTTAAAATTCCCATTACACTAACAATAATTTCATGATTTTGCAAATAAGGAATGCCTTCTTTTTACTTATCACGTGTTTTGGAGTATAACATGAATCCAATTAGCAGTATGCAGAAGTTATAAGCTGACAATGATGTTACCAGATAGAACCCCAGCAATGTGTCCAGGTACCTCTGCCATGACAAATGTTCAGCAGCAACTTTGTGAATTTACTGTCCAGAGCACCCAATACAGATCCTGTGGATCTTGCACATCTAATGAAACAGTTCTTTTGACATCCTTACTGTCTTGTTTTCAGACAAGGCCTCACAGATACTTTAAAAAAAAAACCATAGGAAAGATAAACATACATCTCACCAAGCCTAGAACATAGGAAAGGGTCCAAAGAAGCCATCTGGAGAGACCACGTTAGGGAGAATCCAACGGTTCTTTGAATTCATTACTAAATGATATGGCAAATTGACTCTTTTGGTTCTCTGGTATCTAAATCCAGCATTTCAAACAGAAAGGTGACTCTGCAGTAGGATGGGGCTTGCAAGGCCAAGTCAAAATATTCCCAGAGTGATGCAATGCAAAATGAAATAATTAGAATCAGGTGGTATAGTTAAGAACCTGCCTACATTGCTATTAGTTAATGTGTTTGAAATATTTGCTTTGAGGGAAGAGGGATACGTCAGTACTGCAAGATACTGCACAGTGAATTCACTTAAATTACCTCAGTGACACAGACACAGAATGCACCCTCTTTAAGCTTGACCTGGTTCAGTTTAGTTTAATTACATAATAATCATTAAAAATATATATATATAAGTGAAATTCACTATGACACCACTGTGGAGTCATCCTTAGTAGTGGGAGGGATCTGTCTTCTTAAAAGGCAGTGTTAAATGTGTCTCTTCAGAAATACAAATTCTGTGCTTGCAACCTTTCACAAAGTGTTCAAGAAAGGATGAAGGTGGGCAGGCAAAAGCGTTAACCATTATTCTATTTAGTGTGCTCCAAACCTAGCATCAGCCTTGTGTGCACATACAGAGCCATATTTAAATCTGTCTGACATAACTCTGCCAACATCAATGTAGTCACTTCACATTTATTGGCAAGGAGGTTACCATTACAGTTCATGCAGTGCACCAGCACAGGAAACATCTGAGCCTGTATAGAGAATGTGATGGAAAATTACTGGCAAGTGTTAAAAAAGAAACTGAAACATTCAGCCTATTTGCTGCATAAAAAGAAACAGTAAGTGAAGAGTTTTTATATCCTTCAGTGGTCAGTTTGGTGTATTGAATTAATTCCATATCTTTCTAAGATGACTTCTTTATAAATGTTTTGTACAGGAGAAGAAAATAAATACAACGGTAAGATGTTGTTTGAAAACTACATGCCACTTAGAAACTTTGTCATGCAAATGCTAAAAAATGTCTGGTCAAACAAAGCATGATTTAATGCAGATTTTATAAACACAATGTAACAAGAGGCATGCAACACACTATTGCAGTTCACAATGCACTCTGCTTGTTTAGCAAAGTGCTGAATGGCTGCATCCCTTTGTGTTTGTTGATGAATTAGTTCCTGGTGAGCATGCAGGCAAACAATAAAAAGGCATTGATAAATTGGAGGATATATTAACCATGCATACGAAATTGCTGTGTAGTTGCATAGAAAGGTAACACAAAAGTAAACATGGAAGTGAAACAATTTCAAATGTCATTCTGTTTATATAAAATGTCACATTCCCTAAACTTGAATAAAAAAAGAAGCCCTCATGAAAAACAAATGTCAACACTGTTCTGATAACAGTGAAACCAGTAAACATGCTCATAAGATCAAGCTGGCAAAGATGTATGTTAACCTTTCCGAAATGTCCAGGCGGTCACTGTGATCAAGCAGCAGGTAGCAATACTTCAAAAGTCGTTATGGATGGAGTATGAAAATATAATGCAAATAATAAAAATCTGATGCCATCAATGCAGTTTAAAGTCTTACATCAGTCTCTGTATTCCAGTGTGCTATAAGAAGCATTAATACTGAAATGAACATAATGAGGAGCTGATGGGGGGGAAAAAGAAATTCTGTCTTTTCAAAATAGTGTATAAATGAGTGCTGTTACTGAGTTAAGTGTAAACTTTTGACCGGTATTCTGTGAACAAGTAACACAGTTTTAACTTATTTTCTTTCTTTTTTGCTAAATGGTATGCTTTCCCTGCAGAGAGAGGGGCTGGATATTTAGGAAAACAGAATTCCTAAAACATAACAAAGAATGAGGCAAATGAAAAATCACACTACTAGGAAGGAAATTACCCAAACCTAGCATATGGAATGCTGCTGCTGAGTCAAGCGTTCTGGCTAATTGTAACTAGAGATGTGCATTTCCAGTCTTGGTTGCTGAGTGATGGAAAATATTTGCTCTGTAGAGAGGGCTTTTCCATTTGAAAATTCTTTTTGAAACTGACTCAAGGAAATACATGGAATTCCTCTCCTCATCTATAGAATTTATTTTTTGTTTAGATTGACTCATAGAAACTCTTGTTCCCTGTGCATTGTCATAATGAAATTGCAGAATTAAAGATCAGTTTGTCAAGTAGATTTACTTCAAATGCAGATTGGCTGTGTTCTGATCTCACCCAATCAAAACACATTTCCTGTATGGTTTTTTCTTTTGCAGGCAAAACAGTTTCCTTCTCTACTTAGGATTCTGTTGTTACTGTTTATATAAAACATTAATGCAGACCTTGGATTGAAATTATTAAAATCAACCTACACTTTAAATACTGAAAATCTCTCTAAACATTTTGAAACAATGATCACTGTTTTTCAACAGTTTAAGGCTGCCAGAATGCTTTGGGGCAGAGACAGATATGATCCTGAAAGCAGATTATGTCAGCCAAGTTCAAGGACAGGTCAAGAATATGTGTATGCATAGCATTCCAGGTCAGGTTTTTCCAAACATAACTGTATTTTTCCACTCAGAAGTATTCTATTGGGTAGAAGCTGCTGCATTCTGCCTTTCTGAAAGTACTGCCCAAGAAGCATGCATGAAACAAGAAGTGAAATAGGACTACATAGTTATTCCATGCATTCAACAATTTTGTTTTGATCTGAAAACATAGTGGCCACAAAGAAACCAGCTGTGTGAGGATAAAAACAATGGCTGGTTAAAAATTAGTGCAGTTTAAGTAGTCTTCTGATAGAGAAGAAAAAATATTTTCTAATTTATTAAATGATTGTATTGTCCTTTCAAGAGCTTTTATGAAGACTCTATCAGTAAATGAGTTTACAAGGGAAGTGGAAGTGGAACAAAGAAAGATCAATACTGTCAGCATCTGCAGAGCAGCCTGCTTTTATATCTGCCCCTGAGCGAGTATCTCCCTTTCACTTGACCTGGCAAGGATGTATTTAAGAGCAGAACATGTACCTAATAAGTTTGAAATGAAGAGAAACAAATGTATGCAACATTATTCTGTATAAATTAGTTAAAAAATCCTTCTTTTTTTCAATTAGCCACACTACTTTTTTGACGGTCAATAAAACAGGGGCCATAAGCCATTTCAACACTCAGTTTCTGTGGACGCATTTTCTTGCCTAGCTTTCTGTTCTTCTGTTGCACTGCCAAATGCTACTACTAAGTTAGTTACACTAGTGGCATGTCCTGGTCTGTTTAATTTGTCCTTTATAGACTTGGCTTTCCGAGAATGGCTGTGCAAACTCTTCGATCGTACTGATGGGAACCCAGAAGTCCTTTCTGGCTTTACTGATAACAAGTTCTCTGTCTGAGTTTTGACAGCAGCAGGCATAGAGGCGTAAGAGGCACTAATACCTGCTTCACCAACATCACTGTCATCATCTGTGTCCATTTGTAATTGTTTCTGTTCTGCTTGCCTCTCTGCTTCAGAGATAATACCTGGGTATTCCGGAGGACGTTCTTGAGAAAGTTGCTGCTCAACTTCATATTTCCACTCTGTAGCCCACTGCTCAATTGTTGAAGGGCACACCTGATCCATGATGGTACTATATTCTGTTGTCCAGTTGTTTACCCCTCCAACCAGCTTCCCACCCTGTGCAAATATAAAGCTCCTTGACTTCATCATAGTAGTTTGACAAGCACTGAATGTTTCAGGAGGAAAATAGCGCATTGCTTTAGATTTGTCCAAGGGATAAGAGATGGTTGCCTCTAACTTGGTATGTTCTACTTTCAGCTGAGTGTTCTGAAAATCTGATCTTGGTACCGATTGTCTGTTCATAACAACATCCATCTGGTTTAAACTTTGAGGAGCCATTTCATCCTTCTTGAAAATTCCTTGGTTTTCAACCCCTAAACCACCTGAGCCAGAATGGGGACTGGAAATATTCTGTGCAATGTCTAATGCAGATCTACTGCAATCTGCTGGGGTCACTGCATTAGCACTAGAGGTATAATGGAGACTGGTATGGTGCTCTGGAACCAGCATCCTTGGGTCTGCTCCATCTTCTTTTGTACCAACAGAATGAGCTTTTTTACGTGATCCTATGGCTGGTGACATTGGAGCTGTGCTGTCATCATATGCTAACTCATCGCCACCAACATGATATCTGTACATGCTGTAGCCATCCGAGCTGTTGACACTGCTTTGCCTTAGGAGATACGCAGCATCACATTCAGATGAAGCCCGTGAACGTGTATACGTTAGCTCAGATTTGTCAACACCTGCCAGCTTCTCAAGAGCATTCACCATCCGACCAGATAGTTCTTCTAACTGAGAGAGTCGAAGGTCGACTGTTTGAAGAGAAGCTTTCATGAAATGTTCTCTTTCATTCACTTCTTCTAGCCTCATTGACATATTTTCAACTCTGTTGGATATAAAAGAGGAAGCATAAAACACACAATGGGGTGGTGCAGTAACCCATTATAGACACCAGCTACCAATTTCTTCTTATGGCAGAAATCTGTGCTATGTATAACTCATTACTTGTTCCTGTTTGTAGCACAGTGCTTGTGCATTTACTTTTTACCTGTGCTTTCCTCACACTATATTGGAGGGCTATTGGAGGGCACTTTGCCTTTATTTACATGCCAGGACAGTACAAGAGTTGCAGCCCTTTGTTAGAGCCTACTATTAAATTCCTCTCTGAGTGTGCCACCTGCTTCACATTCAGTTATCCTCTTTCACTGTGAAGCACCAATTAATAATATGGAAAATACTTCTAAAGGCATGTTCACAGGATGACTTAAAATAGCATCAAGGCATGTTGTAAAACAGGTTTTGTGGCTGTACGAAGAGAACACACGCTACTGTTTACAGAATTACTTTATGCCTTGAAATACCTTCCAATTAAGGATCAGAGCAAAGGGGAGCAGAATTTATTTTCTTTTCCTTTATTTATTTTATCATTTAGTTCGTAATGGACTTGATGGTACTAGAAGAATGCATATAAAAGCCAGGCATTAGGATGTGACTTAGAGAACATACAGTACTAAATCAACTGTGGAAATTAAATTAACATTCTTTCACTCTTGCACACAAAAGATGATGATGCATTTGGAGCAAGAAGCCATGAGAATTATGCAAATCTGGTTTGTGGCTACAAGATCATAGTGAATCAGTGAGGCTTACCAACCTTGCTTTATTCTCTCATACAATACCTAGGATTTTGACAAATTACCATAGATAGCGTAATAGAAATGAGTTGATGACACATAGAAGATTTCATTTACTTCTCTGTTCTCAAACTCCACATATAATATTGCAAGATGTTTACTGCTTCCCTTCAACAGAAAGATATTTATCTGTTAGGGAATTGAATGGCTTATGGAACAACCTCATTAGAAATGTTAAAAGGAAGTGAGATACATACATAGAGATGTACCATTATACATATATGTACATAGAATCTACCATTTCCATTATAGGTATAGGAGAATTATAAGGAGAATTATTCATCATTTCAAGGAGGTGATAAGAGACCTCATCCCCTGAGTTACTCAGAGTTACTACCAGAATAGGCAGAGCCTTTGGGAACAGTTCTGCCAAATGATATGACACAAAAGTGCTGCTGCCATTGTAACTATTTGATTTCACATCAATATGCAAACATTACCCAGTCCTCAGAATAGGATTATCCTTCATTATTTGCACTTGACTATTCCCTGTCTTTTAGATGAGGAAGTCCATATAGAAAAGCTCAATGCCTTGTTCAGATCTTCTAAGAGACTATCTGGCAGAGGATCAAGTTTGGCTGTTCTGAATGCTGGACTATAGTCTGAATCATAGGTATCAGTGAAGAACTCCCAGTACTTTTGTTATTAAGCTCCACCATGTTTATTACAATTGAATGAGCTGCTGGAATCTGAACATGTACTGTTTTGCTCAAGCAGTTAAGCAGCATAACTGTGATCTTAGCTGGGTGAGAGGGAAAAAATAACTCTGAACAAAAATGTTCTTACACCGAAGATACCCAAACCAGCAGCCTTAGTGGTATGCCATCAGAAGCAACAAAAAGCTTGATTTTGTGAGAGATGCGTCTGCACTGACATTTACCTGGGATTAAGATTCTGAAATAGTGGTGGTTTTCTTAAAGGTCTGAAGCCATTTGCACTTTAGGTGAACTTTGCTTATAACAAGGGACAAAAAAGCAATATATTGTTCCAGACACGGTCGGGTTTTTTGTTTGTTTGTTTTAAATAGGTACCTTTCAGAGGTAACTCTGATGCGTTCATCATTAGATGATTGCTGCTCATCCTCTTTTTCCTGAAAGTATTCTTCTACACACTGCTCTTCAAACTCGTACAGCTTTCTTAGCTCTTCATCATTTAGAAATAACTCTGTGAAACAGAAGAAAAAAATACTAACTTTCTTTTCCTGAAAATCTGTCAGTCAATTTGAATCCAATGTAGTGGGCTATTTCAGACAGATGGATACTGCAGGTTCCACTCCTGCACTAACTGAATAGATGATTTTGTAGATATGAAATGAGTACTTGGCCAAAATGGCCATGGCTCTGAAAGCAGTGTGATGCATTGTGACTATAATCTTCTTCTATGACCATCCACTATGCTATATTTTCTCACAGACCTTTGAACTGTTTAATAGTAGTGCTACATTTTGAACAAACTGAGCAGATTTTACTGGGTAAGGCAATCTTTGCCAGCTTGATTGTTCCTTAATTCAAATATTGCTCGTAAAGCATGCCAGTTACAGGCAAAAGATAATCCGATGTAACAGCTTCCCAGACATTCTTTGGATAAGACATTCAAAAAGTTAAAATTGAGTTAAGAAAATCCAAGGGAAACATAAGCTCTTAGGAACATTTTATCCTTGCCTTGGATTAGTCTCTTTATTTGTAGGAACTGTTATATTTACATTTCTTTCCTCAGTTTTTTTCCCTTTTTTAAAACCAAAAGCATATTGTGCAAACATATAATTAATTACAAGGTGTATTTCCTGTGAAATGCAGAAATACAGGAGTCATTGTGAGCGTCTGATTATCTCAATGAGGTACATAATGAAAAAACAATAATTGCAGAGAATGTTAGCAGTAGAATGCTCACATCCTCACAGTTCTGTGAAATGACAGATAAGTCTGTAATATGGAGAAATGAAAGTGGTGCTACACAGATTGCTCACAATCACAAGGTTGAATGTATAGATGACATTTGAAACTGTGGCCTCTTCTTTTCAGGTTCCTATTTGCCTCCTACGGTGTATGAACTTTACAAGCACTTGTTGAAAATGGATTAAGTGGCTGCCATGTCATTATTGAAAAGAAAGTGTTCATTAGCAGCACAGCATCACATATACCTAAGGAAGAGGTCAATAGCTGTTAACCTGATATAAAAATTGTCCCATGCTTCCTCTGCAAATACATCGGACCATAAACGTGAAGGAAATTAATACTTGTCATTGGAATAGCTACTCCTTTCTGCTATCATGTGCAAAAAGCTCTATTCAGAGAAGATTCACTGCATACTCAGCCCCCTGTCACGCTCATCCTGGTCTCCTTCACGCTTCTTGCAGCGACAGCAGACTCGCTTGATGATTATGTAGAGGTGGCTGAAGATAATCATTGGTGGTGGGAGGACAGGTCTGTCATGGAATGTCATGATCAGCTGGTACCGCTGGAACTTCCAGACTTGGTTGGATATTGATTTTACTTCAAAGAAGGTATTGCTGAAAGAGGACAGGTGTAATTTCCATTAGGCCTCCAAGTTTACTTAACATTTAACAAGAACTACATTGAAAAAAGAAGAAAGTAAATAGCAAAATGATGCCACACAACTTGCTTGGTTCAGCTCTTTGTCAAGGCAGCTGAACTTGCTGAAGATTAAGCTAAACTCATTATTTTACTGCTCCTTTTGAAGGCAGCACAGCAGGTGCTCCGCATCCCTTATGCACCACCCAAAAGAGTCCTCTTCGTTTTCTTCTACCATATAAAGCATTTTAGCTGTCAGTTAAGACAAACGTGCACAATTTATAGTCAGATAACTAGTATTTTGGAGCTTGGTTATAAAGTACTTCTATTAATATATACTCACATTTGATATCACACAAAGTATTAAATCCATGAAAGATATTTTCCACTCTAAACCCAGAAGAGTCACATCTTTTTCTTTTAACATGTTAATCTGCTTGACCTATACAAAACACTTCTCAAGTTTTTAAACAAAATGCCCTAAATTTAAACTTTGTTCATTTAGACTTCTAATTTGAAAATACTGCATATTCTTTTAAAAGGAGTTGTTTGTGGGAGTTACAGTTTCATCATTTCTACATCAGAATGAGTTTTACTATAAAGACAACCAATTAGCAATTCAGTGAAGGAATAGAGAACTGCATCCAATCCAGAGACAACAATATTCAACGTTACAAAATGCAAACTAAGAAAATTTGGAAGTTCTGTCTTAGATGATGTTTTTCAAGCTATTTTAAAACATGCTAGGACAGTTCTCTTCTATGATGATTCTGACACTTCCTCTTCTTATCTTTTCTATTTCTTTTCTAACTTTCTGTGCTTTGGAATATTCACAAAACCAGACATGACACTTCTTCAAAAATGGAGAATTCTTGATTGCACAAAGCACTCCATTTCTTTTGGCTAAGAATATGAGATTACTTACACTGATAAATGACAATCTGACTTCATTCTGTGTCTCCTGCACAGCAAGAATTCCCCAGCTACAACTCGCCCCCCTGCAACCGTGCTAGGATAGCAGGAGTTAACAGTATGACCTACTTCTCAAACTGCTGATTCCTTCCTCTCTTCAGCCAATAATAGTTACCACTGTAAGATGCTTCCCCTTCCCCCTAGCAATGTGACTGGCATTTGGGTACTTTAAAATTCATGACCTTTTAAGCTAAATACATCAAATGAAAGACAGGCTTTGTGAGCTGTAGCTTTCTGGGCACAAAATGAACTATTTTTGTGGTTGTGATGCCCATTACCTATGCCAGCAAACCCTGCAACGCTGCATATTTATGGGAATCAAAATGGAATCACCTGCTTTTCTCAATAGGTGTTTTGGGAAAATTTTACTAGCAAAGAGATGTATTAATTGTTTCTATTTGTATTTTCCAGTTCTTAGGTCATTATAGGAAATGCATGAGACATAACTGTTGCATATAACTGTTGGCAGAAAGTACAAGCAGTAGAAATGCATTTAGGTTTACTCCAGAAAATTCTAAGCATGGATTTATGGAATGATGTTATGAATTTGCACAGTTGCACGTTGGTTGCACTGCCATAAATGCAGCCACAGATTTTGGTAAAATGTACCTATCTTTTCTCTTGGTTCCAGGTAATATACACTCCTTTTCTGGGAGATATAGGAACTCTGCAAGGCTTTCATTTCTTTTTCTCTAAATTAGAAGCAAAGTAAGAAGAAAAAAAAGGAAAAGAAGCAGATGATGCATGGATGCAGCGGAAATGTCTCTTATTTTTTATGTTCAGATTTTCATTCTGCAGATCTACGGTAGAATCATGTTTGCCAGTGGTTGCAAGAGTTCTATCACATATATAGGTTTAGTGGATTCAGTTTCATCTTTACAAAACAATCTTGAAGCCTGTCAGTAACCATTAGACCCTAATTGTAAGTACTCATTCTCTCATACACATCACTGCAAATCTGTACCAAATTTTCTTCTGCTCTTTCAGAGTGTATAGACCATTCCAAATATTTACTAGTCATGTTCATAGAGAAATTTTGAGGTTGTGAATGCAAGGCATTGCAAAATTAGTTGACGGACTCTCATCGAAACTTTATCTTGACAATAAGAAATTAGTGCATGATTTACATACTTGAAGACTGCAATCAGCAGGTTTACCAGCAGAATATTTGCTACCAAGAGGTAACAAGCCATAATAGCGGGAGTGAGCCAGGCCCCTGGTATGCACGGAGGGAGACGTTTACCATCCTCATCGTAAAGATTGTCTCCACAAGGAGCTGAAGAAAAGAGAGGAAAGGTATTTACATTTCCTGACACTTGAGAACAGACTCACTTACTGATGACGCACATGTAAAGTCTACCAAACCAAATAAATTTTGTCAGTTTATTTCCACTGGAGAGTATGTATAATTTCTAGTCCAAATTCTGCTTCTAACAACACCATGCAAAAATTATTTCACATAATAGTGAATGGTTACATGGCTTGAGATCTAGTGCACAATGTATCTTCCTCTTCAAATTGACAAGGCTTTTTTTTTCCACAGTGACATTACAGGACAAGATCTTGATGTGCACATGTATAATTTCATACCAGCATTTTAAAAACATCTCCGACTAAACTTGCATGCATATCTTTTCAAATGCATAAATGGATTTATTTTGTGGTTCAAGATTGCTGAATGTGTATCAGGCCTTCATCAGAGCTCTGAGTGTTTAAGTAGGCCCTAACTACCCTAAACTGCTTCTCTGAGGTCTACACCTACACTCCCCACACATATCTGTCCTTGCCCAAGCTGCATCAGATGTGCAGGCATCAGATTTTTCTCATGGATGGACTTTGGACCTATACTTGTCTCCTGGATAAATCCTTTTGTTTCAACCCTGTCTTCTCTCACTGCAACCTGAACTCCCTACCTAGGCCCTGGATTATTACTTGCCTCATCTTTTTAGCAATTAGCAGCAGCCATCTCTGAGAGACCAGGTCGCCCTGGGTCTGGCATTGCTCACCCTGGGTCCCTGCTCTTTCTTACCTTAGGGCCAGCCCTGCTCCTGTTGCTTCCTGGCAGATCTAAGCTGCAAATCTGCCCTGAATACCGAGTACTGCTACACAGACAGAAATTGTTTATGATTAAAAAAACCTTTATTTTTTCACTTGAAAAAAGTCGTGAAGTTGTATGCAGTTATTAACTTGTTCTCGAGTAGAAAACCTCAGTTTCTCATCTTTTTATGCCCACTTTCTTTATTATTCACAATGATAATTTTATCTTAAGGAGAGTATAAAAGGGAAATCAAATGAATCATAATATTACTCATGTGGACCAATGAAAGTAATACTAAAAAGCCACCAATACAATACCTGGATAACCGGAAGGAATTATTTATAACATGACAATCATGCATGATAATTTTTAAAAATGATTACCTTACTGGCAATCCACTAGAAACAAATCATAGCAATCACATAAGCTTGACTAAAACTTTTGATGTGCAACATATATTACGACAGTTTTCCCCTTCTTTTCAGATAAATCTATTTTGGTAGCAAAACAACTCACACATGAACATCAGATGAACCCTATAATTAAAATGTCTAGTGAAGATCTAGCATCTAGTGAAAAGATTAATGAACACATTCAGCTAAATGAGATAATCAACTCCCCAGATAGACTTACGATTGATTTCCATGGCATAGACTGAATTGCAGCATTCCAATGGAAGAAATGAAAAAGGAAGCAAGGAGAGAAAGAAAACAATAGAATAATATAGGGGGGAAAAAAAAAAGAAAAAAAAAACAACAAAGAAGATGATTGAAAATATAGTTTTGCTGCCAAGAAACTATAAAAAACTCAAATGTCAAAACAGTAGAGACATATATTTAGAAAGAATGTCTATGTTAAAACTACATGTATATTGTAATTTCCTTGTCATTTTGTGTTCCCCAAATGTTACACATGGCAGCAAATTCATGACATTAAAATAAACCACAAAATGCTGATGGCAGATGATCATTTAAACACACAAAATATTTCAGGCAACCAAACAAAATTGAGAGTCACCACAAACACAAAACAACTCAAAGTTACCACATGAAAACATTGTTTCAGCTATTAAGGAAACATTTCTCACTTTTATTATTATTATTGTTATTTGAAGGACCATCTTAGCTTTGAGTTCATTAGCTGTTTCTGTTGAATAGCTAAGTTTCCATTAATAGTCATGAAACTGATGTCATTACAGTACAATATCGCTAAAGCTCATTTAGATGGCAGTATAGATATTTGCTCCCCAGCCCCTAAATAGTGACTGTAAAAAGAATCACAGCATTCGAAGACTCCCAACTCAGAATATGTTGCTGTTGAATAACACTAACTTGTTGATCATGGACATCTTCTGAATGGAGTGAATCAGACTGAAGGCAGCATTAAGAAAAGCATTACCAGCAAGTGGAGGGAGGTAGTTAGTCCCCTCTGTCTACCTTGGTGAAACCACATCCATACTAGCATATGGACATTACAAAGAATGTAGAGAATATCCTGTGTGCACTGTTCAGAATATACGCAGCTCATTGAAACAGTGCTGGAATAGCAGCTTGTATTGTTTCAGATAAAGTGCATTATGCACACTAAAGAAGGCCACCTGCATGTCTGAGTGTACACATTTCAAACACTAACACAGAACTATCAGTCACATGACAGTGGCAGTGTCCATCTCCTCAAAAACAGACCTTTTTTCTTCTTTTTAAACTGTGCAGCTTTTGTACATAAAATGCTATTTCCACAGCTGAAGCTAATCAAGCTGATTATTTATTTATTTATTTATTCTCTTCCACAGAGAAACATGATTGATTTGTGAAACTGAAACATTTCTGGAAAAATTGGTACATGTACTCATGCTAATATAATTGTGGACTCTCATTGCTTGTGCTACCAGCTGGAGATGAAAAACCATGTTACCTTTTTATCATATCTGTTTTTGGCTCCTGTGCAAGGTATTCATTTTTTTCATTTTAGGTGGGAACAGTTTCTTAGTAAAATATTAGTTCAAGAGAAAGTTTAAGTATGATCTCTGCTTATTTCTGCAAGTAAACAGAACATTTAATACTGTTGCCCACCAGACAGGCAAATATTCCAGACTATATCACATTCAGTGTGAACTGAACTGGAATTTTTGGTTAGAGGCAGGACATGCATGTGGGAAATAAAAAATTCATTAGTCTCTGGAGTCTGTCACAAGAAAACCCTCAAATGGACAAATACACTCTAATTCCAAATTGAAAGCAAACATTAATTTGGGTCTGATCATCTGCCTCATAAACAGGAAACAGAATCTTACTATGAATTCTACTCTTACGGTCTATCTGGTCTGCGAACACCTCTCCATAGATCATCCAGTAGGGCATATAGAAGATGTTCCGAGCTAGTCTCCAAGAAGGCTCCTCATCTGGGTGCAGGATTGCTTGGCGTGCTACTCCAAAACTCATCAGAACCACAAGCATGATGACCACAAAGTAGAGCATGTCAATCATCTGCACAAAGAGACCATACAGATGTTCCTATCATCACCAGTTAGTACAGCGACATCAACGTATCTGTTTGCCAAAGTGCTGTAAAGTGAGCAAGAAAAGTATCACACATTTTCCTGGATAATTTTCCTGATGTTGATCTTCAAATTTAACTACTGCTCATGAGATAAAAATACGTAAGAAGGCAAAAAGAAGTCATTTAAAGAAATAAAGGTTCTGTATTTTTATAAAAGACTTAACAAGGTAAAAAAAAATTGTTATCCCTATTCTCTTTTCTATCAAGTGCACTTTGCTCTGCTTTCAGCACAGAGTTTTTCTGTGGTGATAAGGAGGTGGCAGTCTTTGCTGTATAATTTACTAACCATCTTTCCAATCATCATGACGTAAGGTCCCAGATATTTGTTCACACCGAAGATATCTAGTACTCTAATGTACCAGAAAATTATATCTACACAGTAAATTACTCTTCCATAACCCATGTAAGGCTGGTTCTGTAGGCGAAGAACTGCTCCTATCATAAATACTGAAATAGCCACCAGATCAGTAATATTCCAGTATTCCTGGAGCCAAACTTTCACTTTTTGACTCAGCTTTCCAGGCTCTGACATGAGAATCTGAAATAAAAATTAAGAAAGACAGAATTAAGAAAAATGTGAAATAACATTTCTGAAGTCATAAAAAAAAAAAAAAAAATCAATCAATCTTGTCACATTCTTCTCTGTCATTAGAGACCACCCCTATTTGCAGCAAAATTTGCCTTATTCTGAAGAGAATCCTCCAGAGGGCTACAAAGACAACTAGAGGTGTGGAGGATCTCCCTTATGAGGAAAGGCTGAGATATCTGGAACTGTTTATGCCAGAGAAGAGAAGACAGAGAAGATCTTGTTAACACTTAAATATCTAAAGGTCAGGAGACAAGTGCATTGGGCCAGACCATTTTCAGTGGTGCCCAGAAAGAGAAGGGGCAATGGGCACAAACTGGAACACAAGAAGTTCCATTTGAACATGAGAAAAAGTCTTCAATTTGGGGGTTACAGAGCACTGGAAAAAGCTGCCCAGAGAGGTGGTGAAGTCTCCTCTGGAGATATTCAAAACTCACATGGACTATTTCCTGTGAAACCTACTGTAGGGATCCTGCTTTAGCAAGGGTGTTGGACTGGATAATTCTTTTCAAGGACTAAGAGATGTAAGTATGACTATACTTTACCTCTCTTACTTTCTCTAAAGCCAATGTCACAATGTAGGAGATGACAATCCATTCCTGGACAGATGGCCACCGTTCCATCCGCACCAGGATGATATAGTTAAACAGCATCAAGTAACCCAGGTATGATATCTATAAAAAAGAAATCCTTTATAGACTTTTGTGACATCCACATGAACGCATAGGCTACGCATGACAGTTTCAGGTGCTGAAGGCCTACTTGTGAAAGGAAAAAGTTTTTCTTCTCTGAAGAAAGCGTGCTTACTGCAGTGCTCTTGCTACTACAGCTGGCATGCAAACTGGTAGAGGCCATGGGCCTCCAGCAGCGTGGTATGATTCAGGCAGCTGCTTATTCATTGAAATAAGCAGTACAATGCCAAAACATTCTAAATCAGGCCCCTTTTCCCTGGGGCATTTTTGATATACTACAATGTAATTTCTTTACTCCATGAAATCGTGTTTAATACTTAAACTTGAAATTCAGTAGGAATTTATATTTTGAATTATTATCACTGACTTCAGAAAAATAGATAATTATTCAGTGTGCTAAAACGAAAGAACCCGTACATAATACAATGACATACAAGATACCACAAGTGCTAACTTAGCATAAAATGAAAACAGTATCCTTCATGTAGGGCACACACAAAATTCAGCAGTAGCAAGAATATTTAGTTTTTATTAAAATGGAAATATTTCTTGATGTGCTAAAAAGAAAATGAGATGATTGTAGTTCAGATTGGCTTTAATTACTTAAACAGGAGAAAAGAATTTATTAAGCCTTAGGGACCTAAGGCTAAGTCCTTCCATCAAGATTGTATTTGACAGAGTGAATGGCAAGCACTGATACTGCAGCATTGTTTGTTGGGTCCTACAGTATATTTTAAAGCAGAACAGGATCCAAAGCCTTTAGAAAGCAAGAGGATCTAAACTAGCTTGGAGTAAGTGACTGAACCGTGCAGCCTCCTTTAAAGTGTGTTAGAGCTTTAGGAGCTGACAGCATAAGCTACAGTTATTTGTTCTATTTCACTCTATTTTTCTCTAAATAAAGAGAGTGCTTTACTCATCAGATTCCATGAAAATCACTGTTATTTATGTTTTATGTGGTTATTATTTTTACATCGCTATTAAAACTTTAACTTTCATAGGTGCGAGAAAAGTGATCACTATCAGTTTAATCACCAGACTTACTGTGTAGAACCAAAATTTGACAATAGGAGCATTATAGAATTCATAGATCTTTGTTCCAATTGGAAGGCTGTTTTGCTTTTTATTTGCATTCTCTTCATCCCCTTTCCGGGAACCTGTGTCCACGTTTGCATCCTAGAAGACCACAGTTGTCAGTTTACACCAACACACACATCAAAAACAGTAGCTTTTCTCATTTATAATATCAACCACTAATTACCAAATGCTTCCTCTGAGCAACAGACCTCCTGTTGACTTTTTAAAAATACAAAAACTATGAACTATAGTAAATCTGCAAATATGCAGATAATTTGCATGCCCTGGGAATCCAACCTATATACTCTTTGCAGAACCAGTTGACATTTTATCCAAAATGACCCACAGCACAGAGGAACTTAGGAAACTTAGCATTCTTACAACCAGGAGTTACAACCTCCTGATAAACTCCAGTACTGACCACGTTTTCCTCCTCCTTTTCTTTGCCTTCTTCATTTTCTCGTGATGTCTGGTAAGAATAATCATCATAACTGCGAAACTCTAGGAAAAGGATGGTTGGAGGGAAGAGAATCCCCATTATAACCTGTTCAAAAAGAAAGAATTCAACTCAGACTGCAATATTTATTTAAAAACTAATAGATTTCACAAAAAGGCAAATCTGATAACCAATTTTTTCTTTTGCATAGCATTCAAGATACTCTCCTATCTCCAAACCTACAAAAATAACGTAGGTAGTAGTAGTAGTTAAGAAGCACAATCAATAACCTGCCAATTGAAAGACTCCATTTTCATGAATCCACTGCACGTAAGAAATTGTGCTCCAGAATTAGAGTTGACCAGAGAAATGAAACAGTAGCAGTTGACAAAATGTTTCAGGTTTCTTACTGGACTTCACAGTTACTTTAGTCAACTGCTGTAATCATAATTTTTAAAGTTAAAAAAACTTGTGAAAGTATAAGGAGCTGTGCAGATAGCACCCAGAGAGTTCTACTATATGAGAACAGAGATATAAAAACACAGGCATAATTACAGAAAAAGAGTTAAAGAAGAGAGGAATGCAGGTAACAAAACTAGAACATCAGCAGATGATAGCACTGTCATGGTAGGTCTTTACCAGGATGACAGCAGCTACCTTATAGAACAAAGAAGAGTATATTCGCATACAAAGTCTCACACATAACAAACACTGCTCTGCTTCCATAACAATGGCTCACTCATATTTGTATTTTGTGACAGCCTTCTCATATTACTCTTTTCTAAATTTTTTCTGCAGATCCACTGATCAGGAAATACAAAAATCAGTACGAGGTGCAAAGTAATTGAATCACAGAAGAGAATAAAAATCACACGATTTCACACATCGTGATTTCACACATTTCATTCTTATCAAAACTGAATCTTAATTTTGGTCTTCTGGAGCAATATTAAGCAACACTCAGAAGAATCTGTCCAAGTACAGATTCTTTTCTCTCTAACCCCACTGTGTATATCCATAGAGACGATACTTTTGCTTCTACTAATTAATTTTTAATTAGTTTCATGTTTTTAATGAACAGATTTTATCATTCATTGAAAGCTACAACTTTGCTTTCAGATCCAATCATATTAAGCTTTTCATAGATCTTTTTCATACGTCATTTTCCTTTGTCCTGGTATGTTGTTCCTTAGACTTCCTGAGCTTGGAAAAAAAAAAAAAAAAAAAAAAAAAAAAAAGGAGATTCAAAACAGAAAACGTTCTTAAAGCATCTTTAATTAATAAGCCATTTTTTCTATGCATACACTATATATAATATAGCGTTAAGTGCAACAATGTGTGTCTTTGAAAGCAAATGCAGAACAGAAATACCTTAAGGCCTGGGTTTTTTCGCATACGTAGTCGCCCCATCCACATATCTGTTAAGAGCATCTGGCTGCACGTGTGAGCAATGAAGTCCCTGTGTTTAGCTGCCACAGCCAGCTTCAGGCAGGTAGAATTACTCCAGTTTTTTAGTTCGTAGGTCAGTAGTTTCATGGCAATCTGCTCATCGTGTTTGTAGGACTGATCCAAGAGTTCAACAGCTAGCTGGCCAAAATCTCTGTAACATGCAAGATAAGTCTGGTGAAGTTTGATTTGGAAATCTGTGTTTGCTTACAGTTGGGATTTTCATTCCGTTCATATGGGGTTATGTTTTTCTGTACACAAGGACAAGAGCAATAGAATCTCAGGCTTGATTTGGGATAGTTTACAAAAGTTCCAAACAAATTTGGAACTAGAGAGAATTAGCTTAGACCAAATGACATCTTAAGGCCAGTTTACCTAGATCATCAGATGGCCCTTAATTCATATGAGCACACCCTCAAAATAACATCGTGAAGTAAAACTAGCTAGTTTTATAGAGAGAGAAGGTGAAGAAAGAATATGCACTGCCAGAAAAACACAACACAAATCTTCTTGCTAGCATTACCTTTAGACTCTGAGCCAAAAGTTTGGTTTGTTTACTGTTGATAAACAGGCTCCAGACTGCATTCTTTGAACCTGCAGTCTGGAAATTAACTGTACTCTACTAAAAATCAAGCTTCTCAGCAGGTCAGACCATTTCCTGTGTCAGGTAGACATGTACTCTGTACTCTGTATCTACTAACTTTGAGTTGTTGTCCAGATCCTGAGAGATGTCATCCACCAGTTCACTTTCAGAAGACTCATGCGCCATAGATTTGTACAGCTTACAAGCAACAAGTGCTTTGGCCATAGTTTCCTCCCCTCGTTGCCAAAGGAAGAGTGCCATCTTTTGCCTTTTCATCAGCACGGCCCATAACATCAGTTCATGAAATGGATACTGAAAGCGGCTCACTTCTGGGTCGTCCACATCAATATCAATCTCTTCCTCCTTTTTCTTCTTCTTCTTCTTTCCTTTTGTAGGAGGCTCATCATCCTGGGAAGAAAACAAGAAAAATTCTTAATACCAATCTTTATCATCTGATTTGATGACACCATGGACTAAATGCATATCGAGAGGTTATGACATTAATAGTTACGCCTTTTTTGTCGCTTGCTTTTATGCCAGTGGAAATAAAAATATGACAAACATGTGACCAAGCATACTTAACACAGGTTAATGTTTTATTCAGAGAACCATTTTTTACAGACTTAATTAGAAGTTACTTCTCCTAGATACGTACAGTAGAACTTTACTGTTCTGAAGCCTTCACTTCACACTGCATTGCAAGCGGATCTCTACTGCATGTGTAATTGCATCAGTGGAGTGATAAGGAATTAGTATTTAATGAATTCTTCTGCAGTGCAAATGGAGCTTTACCAAACCTGAATTCACTATAAAGGTTCTACTCTTAAGTTTTTATTTGATATATCTGTATCCATTCTTGAAGAATAGTTCTGCATATCTTACAGGTATCAAAGCAGTATTCAGACTGACATGCAGGTAGAGAGAGTGGTTAACATGCAAAGGGAAAAAGGCAGGCAGACAGCATTCTTAAGAACAACAAGATACTTAAGGGAGTGTTCACCTTTGAATAAGCAATCTCCTCTTATGTATGCTGTGCAAACAGAAGGTAAAGTATCCTGTTTCTTAAAGGGATAGAGAGGATGGGCCATTACTACAGGAACCAACATGGGAGTAACTGAAGGGAAGAACTGACAATGAAGCAGGATCCTGAAGGGAGAAAAACCATGATTGGGTAAATAAGGGTTTAAATTATGTAGGAAGAACATTGCATTTATAGGCGTAGAGAGAGAGCTTATCACCATTGTAGGCCTTGATTCTGATCTCAGAAGAGGACTGCAATTAAATCCCATCCTACAGAACTAGATGATCTTAAAGATCCCTTCCAACCCAAACCATTCTTCAATTCTACAATTCTATGGATGAGTTTTTGTTCATATAAGTAATCTCAGCCTAATAGTCTCAGCACTGTTTTATTACAACGAACAAACTTAAACCCAAATTTAGGCTTCAGCCTTACTCCTCTGGTTTCCGAACAAAACTCTTCAGCTCAACATTTAAATAAGCGTTTCTCTTTCAGCATTTCTAAGAACTGCAAATGTTGACCTCTATTTCTTACAAAAAATTTAGGGGGTCCTAAACTGCATGCAAGTGAATAAAGGGAAGAAGAACAGAACATAAAATCTCAAATGAAGGGCCAAAAATCAGGTCCTCCCCACACTAGGAATATCAAGTCAAAAGGAAACCCTGGGTGGGAAGGACAAAGTACTAATGAATCTAAACTTCCTGTTTTAAAGCTTTTAACTCTGGAACCGAAAAACAAAAAAATGGAGATGCATCAAATTACTGACCTCTTCAACAACAGAAAAATTGATTTTTCATTTCAACTTTTCTTCCTCTTGGAAGAAGGGAGTAAGCTACACCCACTATCAAATGGAGAGAGTGCTTCAATTTGTGCCATATACAGTATTGCCCACTGGAAGAAACAGGAAAAATCAAAATGTGCCTTTAGGGAAGCACTAAGTAGCCTACTTGTGATCAATACTAATCAAACAGGTCTGCACTACAGAGGTGCTGAGCTTTTGACTTTCATCTGTCAGACAATAGGAAGTTGATCACAGAGATTAAATACAGCTTGGACTTTGTAGAGAAGAAAGCTGCTTATCTGCTTGGGGAAATAGAGGCTTTTGTGTGCAGGTAGAGTACATATTGAAGGTAACACAAGCAGTATGTACATATATTGAGTTCAAACGCTATGAAAGCATTAATATATGCTTTATGTGCTGTATACTTCATAGAGAAAAGTCCCAGGACTCTGTATGCAAGTACCCTCCCACTGTATATTAATACATTTTTCAGAAAAAATAGAAGCATCTGCCTCGGTGATGAGCTTTGAGGCATCATCTCAGAGTTGATCTTGATCAATTCAAAATTTCTGCAGGCACACAGATAATTGAGGCAGGGTTTTGGTTCAGTTCCATCTCATATTTGCAAAGCACAGTGCCATCACTGCTAGCAAAGACCTTTTTTTAGTGGAAAAGAGCATTTAACATGCTACAACACAACACACAACATTTTTTTTTTTACTCCACTTAAATGTTGTCTCTATGATAAAACCTCATTTGTGTATTAATTATTACTGCGTGGTTAAAGGAGATTTGCCTACAGATAGTACTGCTGGGAAATACTCTTCCTTCAATATCACCAATGTTCACGTTTGAATTGTTTAATCTACAGTACATTCCAGCAAATAACGTGTTATTATATAATAGTGCTGAAAACTGCCTACGGATTACTAAGCAAAGCTTTAAGCAGCTCTGAGGACCATACCAACAAAAAAAAGTCAGAAATACTTCATAGGCTGCTTGCAAAACAGCTCCTCTCTAGCTGAAATTTACTTTAAGCCACAGCAACACTGAAGAAGCTAAGAGCAAGAGCACAATTGTACCAAGAAACACACTGATAAAACCAGTATTTTACAATAAAACCAACTTACCTCCATCCCTAGTAGTTTAAGAGCTTTTGGCTAAATATTAAAATAGAAAAGAAAATTAGTTAGGAGGGAAAATTCAAAGACTAAAAAATGCAAAGGAAAAACACATTTTGATTAAACTTACTATTCTAAATAACTGTATCAATAATGGTACAATTAACTAATCTTCTCCTTAATTGTATTTGCTGGAAGGCAATGGGTTAGAAATTTTTTTCCATCCTGCACTCAGTTGAAATCTTTTGATTAAGTTGGAAGAGTTAAATGAGAATAGAAGTCATTAAATTTTCACAAAAAATAAAAAATAAAATAAAAATGATGCTTCTGAACAGAAACAGGGTAAATGTACTCATGGGAAACATGGAAAAAAAAAAAAAGAAAAATACAACATATCTTCAAATCTTTTTCATAAAATATTTCCTCTGTTCTATAATGGAATCTCTGATTTACATTTTCCGTAAAAGGCTTAATTGTATGGTCAATTAGATAGTACTATATATATACATATATATATACACACATACAGTATTCTGACTGCAGAATAGATTACTTTGGGGTTTGAGTAGCCTTCTGATCATTTGAAGCAGTTGCTTTTTGTGAGCAAGCTTCACTTGATCTTCAAAAACCCACAATTCAAACAAAAAAAAATTAAGTTAATGAAGAGAATTATTCTAATTGCATAGAATAAAATGTTTAACAAGGGTCCATGCTTGCTATTCTCATAATTGGTTTATGACTCTGAAATGTTTACTGAGATTGCAGTGGTTTCTGTAGAATAAGGTTTATGCTCATAGCAGTTCCTTATAGGGACTTACTTAATTATTTGGAAAACAAACCTGATGTGACCAATAGAATTTACAGTTCAAGTTATAACATCAAGCTACAACTTAAAGAAGGAAGAAGTAAATACACAGGCAAGGCGGTTAGAAATAGCTGGGTAGTAAACTACTTAAATAGAAGGCAGTTCACCTCCAGATCGAAGTATTTACCATCTGCTGGCTGCTTCTATTAACTCAAGTGTTTTATGGGATCCTTACATAACTGTACTACTAGAAGTTCAACATCAGTCTTACAGCATTTCTTTAGCATTGGACATGTAGTATTTCACAATCATGAAGGAACAGAGTACTGGTTGTTTTTACCATCAGCGTGATGGCCACATCCAGAATTAACTCATCCTTACCCTCTTAGGTCCAAATAAATTATTATAAAGAGTCCGAAAACTTTTTCTAGTATAGTTGCAGCGATAAGCTCCACCCATGAGATATTCAAGTACAAGACCAATATCTATTAGGCTGATATGATAATCTGGTGGAAGATTGCCCTACCAAGAGCAAGGAAACAAACAAAAGAACAAAATAAGAATTTAGAACAAGAAAAAATAACATACATGAAATTCATATTGGTGCAGCAGTAATATTTATAGATACTTGTCTCAGTCTCTGATTATTTATACAAAATTAATGAGAACCAATTCAAATGATAAATGTTTGGGGAACAGATTGAATTTTTGGAAGTATTTATAATTGAGGACAATTTTTCATTTGTAATTTACTTGTACATTGTATCAGTATCAATACATGTCCCAGTTGTTTGCAAGAGCTAAGAGATTGGTGAAGTCAATCTTTATGTCACTCTTAATATTGACCATTATTAATCCAACATAAAAGTATGATTTGCTTAATTTCATAATGAAGATCAGACACACTCTACAATTTATAAAAATTTGCATTTTGCCACAATATTACCTACAGAGTTAAGAATACAATTCAGATAATGATTTAGATTTATACGTAGCCCAGAATTAAAGAGAAAAGCCTGTAACTTCCACAATCACGTATAAGAGCTAGATAGTTGCATTAACTCTTCTAGAAGCATAAGCTGAAAACTGCTTTGTTGTTTGAGCTATATCCTACAACAGGAACTCATTCTACAACACCACTGAGCAGTAGCTACAATGAAAGAACCATATCCTAAGCAAACACATCACCTCCATGTTAACCCAACTGAATCCCCGAGACTGCCGCTGAATGAGTGAGCCATGAAAATGCAGTGAAGAGACAGACAGAAAGCAGAATGCAGAAAAGCATTAGTGACAATCAAAAAGACAAACACCAAATGAGGTAAGTTTAACTGTGTAGTATGTCAATACGAATTGTGCATCAACTCAGTACTGCGTTGATTCCCACATTTAAATCTCCATGGATAAATGGGAGTTTCCTTTCAAAAAAAAAAAAAAAAAGGAAGACTATTCCTTGCAGTTAAATTCTATGAAATAAAAGCTCCAAAACCTCAATGAGAGTAAATATATAACCCTGTCATAGATAATGAACTAATGAGCATGTAGTGGAAACAAACAACATATTTAGGTTTTGTAGCACTGAGACAAGACAGTTTTTCCCAAGTAAAAGTAGGATTGCTCGGGAGCAAACTAAAAAACATGCAATGCAACATACAAAAGGGAAGAAATTCTTTGCTGGGGAGTGCAGCTTCTACTAAACCTAGCAGGTCTTTCAGTCCTCCTTTGTAGTACTCAATTTGGAGTCTACTGTGAAGAAGAAATAATATCTAAATCTTAAATAATACAACACATTACTAGCAGCTTTTCAACTACAAAAATTAGACTGATATCATTATTTACCTCAAGTGAAAAGTCATTTGACTTCCCTGTTTTTAATAGCTATCATCTAATTTCACTCATGCTGTGCTTGCTTTTATTGTTGACTCATATTATTAGTGCAATAATGCAAATGCAGCTTTTAAGCTTACCTTTTTCACATCTCTGACTAGCAAATGCAGTGTATTTGGAGGTCCCAATCTCTGAAACAAAAATTATTTACTGTCCATTAGAGCTTCAATAATTCATATTTTACACAAACAAAAATGACACTGTAAGAATTTAAGGCATCTATGTGCCATTACGTTCTACAGGGTTGAAAATAAGGAACTAGGCTACAGTGACATGCATAGTGTTAATCAAGAGTTGCATAGTCCTTTTCTTACAGCCCTTTATGTGGTAGTTCAGGAGCCTTGATTCAAGTCACAGCTGCTGCAAGCCTAGTCATCAGGAATGTGCATATGTAGGGAAACATCAGGACACTCGTATGATAGCAGTGGCTCCCTCTAATGCTATTCACCTTCTATTTACCTTTAAGGCTCAAAGCTTTTTAGAAACCAAATCGTTTCAGAAGCATACATCAGAAGGAAGAGAAGAAAAAGGTCATTCCTATACAGTAGAAAAGATATCACAGGGCATTTTTTACTTCTACTCACTCACAGTATTATAAAGTTCTTCCAGTCGAGGAATAGTGAGGAAATGTTGCATGTTAACTCCATTCTCAATGAGTAGTTTAACAAAGTCCACTCGATCCAGAACCAGTGCATCCAGCATAGCCTGCTCCAGCGAATTCACCTGAATCACAGAACAGAGAACGTGAGATCACACAAGCACAGAAGATGTGTCTGACCAACAACCATTACTATTTTCATTACTTTAGAGATGCCCAGTTTCCAAATATGCTGATGATGACTAATCATTCATTAAGGATCACTTTCCCCTCTTTCACCAACTCACCTATTGGTTTTCAAAAATGTTGGTCACAAAGTCTAATGGATCATCTCTTAATATTGTCTAAAGGGTTAGAATGCAGTAATAAAGGTGGAAAGGCCTTGAGCAGCAGCCCTTTTGATGCATGATCCCGATTTCAGACAACAAAACACCAATCTACTGCAAATGGAAGGTGAAACACATAGACAAGGTGAAACTTAAGTTTTCTTCACTTGATAAATATTTTTATAGAGGGAGGACGAAGATGTTCACTAGCGTGCTTATTTTGTTCTGATAAACATAGGCAAAAAGAGGCAGCAGATAGGCACTGACTTGCACTGTTGTGGTACAGCTGCATGTAGTGCATGTAGGATGAGAAACATTCCTGGCTCAAAGACTGAACAGCAGCACTCCTGCAGAATTCTAATGTCAATCCTCTGGAAATGTGCAAATGAGCATTCTGTAGAGTGAAAATGCATGTTTCCCTCACTCTTTGTTTTCAAGGATGGCTTAATCACTTTGGTTGAGTGATCTGAAAGCAGTTAACTCCTGCACAGAAAATGGATTTGTTGAATGGAATATAAAAGTGAGACTGGAAACTACTAAAACCCTACAAGGAATTAAAAGTGAGATTATCTAAAATCTCCTTTCATATGGATACAGCTATAGATATCTCTCTTATAGATGGTAGAACACCATTTGCACCATTTTGCAAGACACTTAAAAACTAGTACTGTCTGGATAATTCAGTCTCCCATACAGTTTCATAGAAGGGTAAAGCCCACCTTTGCAAACTAATAGATAGGCATACAGAGAGAGGGGAAAAAAAAAAAGCAAACAAACTTTTCAACAGTTTATTACAAGTACATTCACCTCACCCAGTTCAAGAGTTCAAGCTTCCTTGGATCTGTTTCTTCTTCTGGCTCTTCTTTTACTTTTCCTCCTTTTTTCTTCCCCTTTCCTTTCGCTCTGGCTGCTTTAGTCTGAACTGCTGGAGATTTCTTTTCCTTCTCAGGGGCTGTACCATCACTAGCTGTAAGGCTTCCTAAAGGCTTAATTTAATACAAGTATTACACACAAGTATTAGAAATCTACTTAATTGTACTACCACTATTTTACGAATACACTGCTATTGAACTTGTTTTTCAGTCACCACTTCACACATGCAATCTACTTAAAATTACCATTTCCTTAGGTATATGAAACTTTTTGGTTTACTCATTTAAAAAAACAAAAACAAAAACTCCAAGCTGTTATCTCTAATAGAATCCATAACACTGAAAGTCAAGTAGTGAAGTAGGCAGCCTGTGGTGGGATTCAACATAGAGGCTTTCTCTCCCAAAATTCAGTGCAAGAGGTCTGGGAAAAGACACTGCTTGATTATGCGACCCTTCAGCTTCTTTCCTCTCAGGAAAAGTTACAGCTGTCAAAAAAAAACCCAAAAACAATAGCAACAAGCAGGACAAAGTGTTTAACAAGGATCTTGCATAATGCCAAATTGCATCTATACTGCAGAAGCAGAAAGAAGAAGAAAAGAGGTCTCCTGACTAGTTAATTTAGGCTCTGCAGACAATATTTGTGTTTATAGCTCTTCAGGCATATCTAGACTCTTCTGACTCCTTCCCATTCTAAGCTATCTACCCAAAACAGGAAAGCACACGTGCAAGTATCTTGACATTACTTGTCTGTGCTATGGAGGCTTAAATTACACCAGCTAACACTTAGGTTATATAACCCCCATGTGCAGCTTACAACCATCTGTGCACTGCCCAGAAAACTAGAGAACAAAGCCTGCTATATTTTTTGTTTGTTTTCAATGTTTAACAAGGCTTGTTTTCTCTTTTTTTCTCCACCTTAAAAAAATCTTCTCTTTCTGGCCATCATGAAACATTTGTAAGCCTGGACAAAACTGCATCTGTCAATTCACAGAACATAAGGGCTGAATCCTCCTGACCGAAAAACATTCTTCATGGATTAGAAATTACAGTGTGCCACAATTAGCTGACAGCAGATCCACAGATTGTTGCAGAGAATGATTATGAAATAGGAGAGACAGTAGATGGATTCAGTTGCCAGGTGGTACATCTGAATTTAAGTGCAATGCTAGGGAGACTGGGACATTCATTTGAACAAAATCTTTTATACAAATAATATTTTATAATATTTAGGATCATTTAATTCTTTTCTTGTGAGCATTCCAATGATCTTTGAAAACATTACTATAAGTAAAGGAATAAAGCAATATCTGCAGCACCATTCATTAGAATTTTAATTGCACAGGCTTCTAAATGAAATAAATCTTAGCATTACATAAAGCACATACGTGAATAGTGTTCATTTTATGGTATAGTTTCAGGAAAGACGTCTAACTTTAAAAAAGTAAGAATCCTTGGAGTCAACTTTATCTAGTTCAGGTTGATTTCTTCATAACACCATGGTAATTCAACACCAGATGGTTCAAACAGTAAAGCAAAAAGCATCAATACAGAGAATTAGAAGTGGCTTAAATAGAGTATTTTAGTTATGCTGATAAACAAAGGCACCACAGTGATTCACCATTGATTTGAAACAGTGTAGCACCACATTCTAAAATTTTGAGAAGGAAAATTTCACTGCAGAAACTAAAGCTTTACTAAAGAACTGTTTCTAAGTTCACTTAGCACAGCACTACCAGAGGAGTTTTCAGCAGCAGTTTCCTTTGTCTACATTTTTGCTCCATTAATCCAAACTGACATTTTCAAAGCTATAAAGGAAGCAAGATACGCAATTACTTCAAAGCATCTCCATGAAATTCAGCCTTGATACATACTTGAACAGGTAGTTGGAGACTTCAGCAACTACTAGCATGTGTCAAAGAGATAAAAAGCAAAGTTGCTTTCCTGTTTTCAGAATCGAGTTTTTGCAAGTGGCAGCCTAAGTAAATTTCAAAACAAACAGGTCGTTCTTAATTAATGAAATGCCCTCCATCAGCTCATCATAAACAATAATTCAATAATATTCCTCCTGCCAACAAAATCCAGGGAGTTAATATTTGACAACTTATTTTCAATTTTTAGCAAATAACATGGTCTTACTGGCCAGTGGTGTCCAAAGACAAATATTTGGCTGCGTGCAATGTCTACACGGTTCCAGGCTAAAGCCAAGCTGAGCTGGTCTGGAGCAGATGCATTGGTACCTAAACAGAAACACATGCCAATATTTGGTATTTCGTGCATGATGAAACATCACAGAACAACCTTCTGCAATTCCCTTTCCCAAGAACTAAAAGCCAGCAAGCTTATTATCACAAGAATAGTTCTACTACAAAGCGGTGCATGCACCAAACCAATTTCCAGCATCTTCCATTTGACCTCATAATCCTAATTTCAAAAGGATTAAGCAGACTGTCTCTCTATTTCCCTTAGAGCTCCCAGATTGACTTTATATTCTGTAGCTAAAGATAGACATAAAACTGTTCTAAAAGGCTCCTTCGCACAGCTCCCTTGGCTGATGCTGTAGATATGAGCACAATAATTCCTCTCTTAATCTCTTACTTAGCATTAGGGACTCCAGCGTTCTCATACTGAGCCTGCTATCAACTATAAATATTCAGACAGAAAACAGATGTTGTTCCAGCAAACATAACACTCTCCAAATAAACTGAGAACTGATCCTAAGTTTCACCCTAAGGCTTAAAGAATACAATCTGAGGCCTGGAAAAAGCCAGTCTTCTAATCTTCCTACCACTTCTTCTATCTTTATTAATATGTGCAAAGACTGCGATAAAATGTGCTGAAATATCAGGATAGCTGTTGGCAGCATTTCCATTCCAGGCTCTCAGGTGAGGAAAGCGACACAAAAATTTCAGTCTAGATTTTACACTTTGAGCTGATCTGAGTTGCAATCAAGTATTTTCAAGTTAGTACTTTGAATAAAAGAAAATAAACCAAAAATTTAAATATTTAGAGTGAACTTCAGGCAGTGTGTAGACTTGACCTTTTAGGAATCACAGTATACATCCTTCCTTGCAAAACCCACCTTTGAGGAGAGCAGTTAGGATAGACATCTCAATGTCCTGTTGCCCTTCAGACCCCATACGGAACACAGTGATCTAAAAGACAGCATTAAACCAAAACACAGAATTGCTGTACATGAAAGATGGACACTAAATTACAGATAGGAAAAAAATAAAAATAAAGGTAAAAATAAAAATAAAAATAAAGGTAAAAATAAAAATAAAGGTAAAAATAAAAATAGAGCAGAATGGTAAAGGTTTATTTTCTAAGGCTTAAAATTTTTCAAAACGTCCAGTTCCACTATTTTTTTCTTTTTGAAATTACAATTTCACAAAAACTCTGATTTATACTTTTTCAGAAGACTTATCCTAACTAACCCCTAAACAGTTAAATATGATAAACTTGCTGAAATTCTTCATCAAATCCCATAATTTTCACGAACAGAGACAAAACTGTCATGGCAAACTGATAATTTTCTCATATTTTGCAGTAATAAGAGAAATGCCAACTTGGAAAAAGGAAACACTAACTATCTGAAATAACTACAATAGCTTTAATGCTATTGACCATAGCACTCAAATATTTCAAAATGATGTGGTTTGCCACATAATGACCAGCAAAACAGATACAATTAATTTAAAAATCAGATACTTCTAGTCATATTTGCTTAACTGAGCCCATTCCAATTCTCTGCCTTTAAGAACTGCAATTCCTGCAAAGCTTAGCCATTAAAGGAGCTACATATTAAACAGTGAATAACATTCAAAAGTGTATTCTATATTAATGATATTCTTTCTGAATAGAGATAAAAAAAAAAACAACAATCTTTCACTTTCCAAAAACATCTCTGCGTAGTAGATGTCAGCATTAAGTAGTGGGAATGGCAATTTTTTCAACATTTTGAATAGATTTTATTTCTATACAAAGATAAATGTTTGCCACAAGACATGAAAGAATTAAAGGAAAAGTTGTATTACAGAACAAGAAAGCAGACAAAATTATAATCAAATGCATTTTGCTGTGATAGTCATTTTTAAATCTGAAGCAGTTTGGCTAAGGCAGCAGCCAGTTCTTTTTTCTCTATTGGTTCTTCTAGAGAGGCTGACTTATAATCAACTTATTGTAGTTACAACCAACTTGACTTCTGATGAAAGCAAAGTACAGAATTCATCTTGGCACTATAGGCACATAAATGCATCCATAGTACATTCATATTACTGGAATCGTAGAATCATATAATGGTTTGGGTTGGAAGAGACCTTAGATGCTATCTTGTTCCAGCCCCACTGCTATGGGTAAGGACACCTCCCACTACACCAAGCTGCTCACAGCCTTGTCCAGTCTGGCCTTCAGTGCTTCCATGGAGGGGCATCCACAGCCTCTCTGGGCAACCTGTTCCAGTGTCTCACCACTCTCACAGTAAAGAATTTATTCCTAATATCTAGTCTAAATCTGCCCTCTTCCAGTTTAAAACCATTTCCTAAAAAGTCCCTCCCCAGCCTTCCTGTAGGCTCCTTTCAGGTACTGGAAAGCTGCTATAAGGTTCCCCAGGAGCTTTCTCTAGAAAAGACTTCATATAATAATAAGCTGAGTATGCTACTTTATGCAGAAGTAAAATACAAACAGATGGGTATCTATTTGACTGCAACACAGAGTTGCAATATTAGAAAATACAGAGTTTGTTGAATTTTGTTCCAAGTAGCATTGGCAGATGGATGAGTCCCTAGAGAATTTAGTTCTGACAAAAGTATTTAAATATATGCAGCAAAATTGAAATCTGGCCTTTATGACCTCAAGAACTAAATAGTATCAGAATATGACTGAAATAAAAAAAACAGAGATAAAACTCAAAATAGTCCTTCTCTTCTTGCAGGAATCCCCCAGTGCTGAAGGGAATAAAACATCAGATTTAATGAACAATGGTGAGAAGAACATCGGAGAGAATATGGGAAAGAAGAAAGCACAATTAGGAGAACAGACTGCTATTATATTGTACAGGACATGAAAAACAACTGGTGAACGCTTAAATATTATTATCTTGAAAGCTATAGATACATAAGCAAGTATTCCTTGGCAGCTGAGATGAATATTATGTAGAAAAGCTGGAAGCATGAGCCAATACCAAGCATAATCTCAGGAGAAGAGCAGCTTTTTGGAGAATGTGGAGAATATGAAACTAAGAGAAACACTGCAAGGAACGTAGTGAGTGCCTCACACAGATGTCCATGCTCCAATCCCATCTCAGTTATCTTAGGACTCCTTCCTGAAAGGGGTCAGAAATGGCTTTATAGATAAATCCTCAGAATCACTGGGCATATTCTTTCATGCATTTTTGACTCAGCCAAAATCTCCTAGCGACACTAATTAGTACAGGCTTTATGCATGAAAAGGTAGGCTCCTAATGGTAAGTCTACAGATAACACATTGGCATCATACCTTAAGAAGTGATTTGACTTACTGTTTGAAAATTTTCAAAACAATTTTAGTGTCCGTATTTCCAAAGCAGAAGAAATAAAAGATAGCAAACATCATTAAGCTTCTTCACAACTTAAATGTTCTTTATATTTCAAAATACTTGCTTGTTGCCTTTTTATTTATATGGGAATTAAAGAGTGTTGAGCAATAGATCTGCACATCTCAGAGAATCAGTTTACATCCAGAGGAGATGATTACATAGATTTCTGGAGGATGCGTACACTTTTCTTGACCAGGGCACCAGGCATGATTCTAATCTGATAGAAGTTATTTCCTAAATTTCAATCACTTAATTGCTCAAGAAAAATGTAAAAATAATGCCTGGTTGGAACTTTCATCACTGTGGAGCTGCCCATATGAAATGAGGACCAGCATAAAGCCTGATGTACCAATTTTGGGAAGTTTATTTGTATTATGATGAGAATCATAGCGCGAAGCTTAGCACCAGCTGATGCCTTATGCAGTATCGCCATGTTAAGTAACAAGCTGTTGTGGTTTAACCCAGCAGGTGGCTGAGCACCACAAAGTCAATTACTCACTCCTCCCCCTTCCCAGTGAGATGTAGGAGAATATCAGGAAAAAAAAGTAGAACATGTGGTTGAGATAAAACTATTTACTAAGATAGAGACAAGGAAAAGGATGATAGTTAGGACTATCCATAGACATATGAATGTACATAACAGGTAATGGACAAGCAATTGCTTACCACCCCCTGACCAATGTCTAGTTGGCCCCCCTGAGCAGCAGAAGAGAAAAATATCAACTGCCACCCCCTTCAAAAATCCTGCATGACGCCAGATGGTATGGAATGTCCCTTTGGACAATTTAATTCAGCTGTTCTAATTCTGTTCCCTCCCAGCTCCTTGGGCCTTTGCTGAGAATGGCCTTGGCTCTGTACCACACTGCTCAGCAGCAACTATAAACATCAGTGTGTTACCAATGTTGTTTTCCTCCTAGAACCAAACACATAGCATCATACCAGACACTCCAAAAAACCTATTCCATCCTAGCTGAAATTAAGATACAAGCAAATACTGCACAGAAAATACTGTTTTTTCTTCCCTCCATATATCTTTGGTTAATATAGCAGGATTTACAGTTTTTCACTGAACAATTAAACAATTACTTCTATCAAACAGAACTATACTCCCCAGCGAAAAGAGTATGTGCTGTAAGGAATACTGTTTACTGTTTATTTAAAATTCTAAGGAGGAAGTTACAGATCAGTTTATTGTGTGCTGTATTAAGCTTGGGAAGAAATTAGATAATGATTTGCCTCTAAGCTGACCAGAGGCAGAAAATGTGCACTCTACAGAAGGAAAATACACTTACTATTGAGGGAGTATGAAACATAATTTTCCTAAGAAATTAAAAAACTTTCTTTTCTCAGCTTCAGGGTTAAAATATTCTCTTTACCAATGCCTGTGTTACAGCCATCACTTCCCTAGTAATAGAATTAGGCAACCCAAAGAATCATGGTCTGAGGAGAAAGATGTGCTAATTCTCTTGCTTCTATCTATAGAAATACGCAACTTAAGCAAAAAAAAATATAAAAATGTCAGCTATATCTGTTCCAGTTGTAATTTGAAAACCATATAAAAATGTATTAAACTGTTTGTGTGCTATTAAAAAGCAGTTGCTTAAGACAAAAGAATTAAATGGAATTCTATCAAAACTCACAGAAAAGATCATATTTACAAAAATTCACCAGGACAATTAGTCAGAAGAAACCACTCAAAAACTGCATAGGTACAGTGAACACAATTTCAAGACTTCCTTCTCAACAGACATGAATGCTGAAGATTTTTTTTTCCTGAGCACACTTTTTTCTGCAGCTGAGTTATGGTAGACAGGCATTAATCATATTGAGTGGTACACTGCATAGAACAGGCCTGTTGTAAATCAGGATCATGCACAACTGGGATCATCAAGAACTTGGTGTCTTGTAGAAAAAGACTCTTTATCTTCTTACACAGGAGAAGAATCTGAAGCTGGTTTTAGAGGCTTTCCAGAAGACAAAATCTCTGTTTCTAGGAGTCTAGGTTTATGAATGCATCATTATGTATACTTACAGGTCTTAAGAAAGAAAAAAAAAAGTTGAACTGTAACCCTGGGCTTCAAAGTACTTGCAGAAGTCTGTTCATAGCAATTATCTTCATGAAATACTTTTAGGACACTTACAAGTTCCTTTTTTTTCATGCATTCCATCAGAATGATAAACAGCTGATGAGCTTGACTCCTGCTGTAATTGAAGGTTTTCTGGATAGTTACTAGAAGCTGGTCCCTGAGAGATTCACTTATTATCCTAAATGATAAAGGAGACACAAAACAAGACGTTGTTGGAATTAATATATATGTAAGGAAAGTCTGCTGCTTGAGAAACATAATTTTTCATGCACCAGAACAGTGATTTTATTTGAAAATAAATAAAAACACACAACATTTTCGCATTCAATATGGAAAGGTTGTGAAGTTTACAAAATAATAACAGTAATCAGGAGATTTGTACCCAGACTGGCTCTTGTGCATCTCAGCCCTTCAATAAAGATTTAAAAACTGGCAAGGACTTTCAACTATTCTTTTGCCCTGGAATGGAATCTCTGTACTACAAGATGGCTCTTATTTTTTCTGTGAATGTGTATATATACTCTTGTTAAGTTCAGCCTTCAGAATTTCAGTAGTACAACTTACTGGATATGCATCTTTGCCTCTAAATGTTGCAAGGTTCTTTGCATGTAATCAAAAACCCTAAAATATTTCACACTACCAGTATGTCACCTTGGTTATCTTTTACCTCTTCAACAGAATTTAGTTGCTGGACCATATGAAACCTCAAAATACACACTGGAGAAACACAAAAACCAAAGATGACCTAAGAAAAAATGAGAATGAAAACACTTCAGTGAAGATCAGAAACGTCTGATCTCTCAAAGCAGTCTGAAACAGAGGCCATCCATTTTGGCTGTTTTCCTAATAAAATACATGTATTTTCAGGTAGCAGCAAACATTACCAGCAGACAATCAAATCAGTGAGACAGCTGAGCTTGCCAAGTGCAGTAAAATCCAAAGTTCATTGTGAGAAAATTATTCTTTGTAATCTGACAGCAGGGATGCCAGAAATTTCTCACTACAGACCTGTGTTACCAGGTGAACACATTTATCTCATCAGCATTATCGGAAAGGAAAACTGGACAGTGTAACATGCGCACTGGGGAAGAGAGTCATGCAGCAAGCAGATATCAAACAGATTGATCCTTATAAGCTCCTTCAGTTTCTGTGTGCTGATAAAGAGGGATGGATGAGAAAGAAAGAAAAGAAAGTTTGATCTAATCTAAGGAGGCTTGTTCAATGCAAAGAAAGATGTCACATCATAAATTCTATTGGTAGCATTAAAGCTGTACTATATGTAAACCCAAAAATCCAGCATCAGAGCTGCTTTCCCACTTCAAGCACATAACATCTGCACTGTTTGAGAATAACAGTTATTTAATTCAATTTAAGCTCCAACTTTAGCCATGGAAACAAACTATTTCTTCAGTGAAAAGAGGGTGTGATGTAGCCTAATGAAAACCATACACATTTTTCCTGATTCTGTATTAACAATCGGTATGGAGAAGACGTTGTTTGATTGGGAGGAGCAGCATTTGAAATAGAAAATGCACTACTCTGCTTCCATTTGGAGTATCTATCAGGAGAGATCGTATACTCTGCAGAGAAGATGAGCTTTATTCTATATGTTTTGTACCTTTGAACAAATTGCCCTCTCTACCAACAGAAACAGAAGACAACCAACTGTAAAAATCACAAATTCCACAAAAAAGGGTTCATTTGGGCAGTGAAGCAGAATGCTTCAGACAAATATTTGGCTCTGGTCATGGCAGCACTGCTCTGAAGAAATATCAAAGACATAAGAAAAAGCAAAAGAAGAAAGCCTGACATTTATTCAACCTGGCACTCTTGGAGCACGAATGTCATTCATAGAGCACATTAGATGCAGGCAGTACATATTCTGCAAATACATGAACTATTAAAACTCAGCTCTGACCTGAGAAAAGGAGTAATTCTGGGAACCACTTGTTCCTTACTTCTAAAGCATCCAACTCAGCATCAAGTATCATGCAACAAACTTTGATGGATCTTATATGACAGTGCGCTGCACTGAGACCAAGCTTATGTCAATAGGCTGTCAAATACATTTGAAGTAGTAACAATTACTACTCATTAACACCAAGGAAAAGATCAAACAGGCAACAAAATCTGACAGCAGAATACCTCTGTTAGGAACATTTTGTATCTGAGCTTTTTTTCCAGGAAAATGAGGCGTAATCCCTCATCATCTCCCCTGAGCAAGACACAGCTTTAGTGAAAGTCTCATAGTCTTACCCTCCTTCTTCTGAATACTTGTGTGCAAATGACAGAATATCAGATGCTCGTCCACTACCATCACAAATCACTACAGGGAGAGGAGGTTCTTCTCGTAGGCACTCCAAAACAATGGAGATAACATTGGGACCACCTTCCACAATAAGCCCAACTACAGGAACACCCTGTCCCAGCCCTGAAAAAAAAATAGAAGAGCAGAAACAGAAAAGAAGTGTAATTGAAACTGAGCTTAAGAGGTTGATCTGTTATGAAGGGATGCGATTTTCTGTATTACAGCATCACTTAAAACCAGAACAGTTAGGAAAAATTATGATTATTTCACAGCCAGTGACAAGGAAGGTGTCTGTATACTGTTTCAAAGTCTCAGATAGAAAACAGCAAGTCTTTTCAGTTATGATGTGGTTTAATCCACAGTAGGAAGCTGTGCTCCACATATCTGTTGGCTTGCTTCTCTGCCACAGTGGGATGGGGAAAGAACTGGGGAAAAAAAAGAAAACTCGGGAAAAAAAAAAAAGAAGAGAATACAAAAACTGATACACAACACAATTGAATTGCTCACCACCAGACAAATGGTGAACTGTTCATAATCTCTTGCAGTAGACACCATGCACAGACAAACCAGCTGAACACGATCCTACTATCACTTCATTATCTCCACTGTTACTTGAACGGCTCCCTGCTGCTGTGTCTTTGATGTTTTAACTGTTCCTTGGTTACCTACAGGAAGTCTTCAGTAAGGTGACATATGCCTATGCTTTCTCCTAAGATAGAAGTATGAATTTGGTGTCTTTATCATGAGGCTGAGATGGCTGGCCGATGGAAGAGACGACAGCTGAGCATCCCTTTGCTGTCCCTGCCTCACTGTGATCTCCAGGCATAGGATGACAAAGGGAAGCCCACAGGTCACACAGTCTCAGTAGTCTCAGTCACAATGGGGAAATGAAGGACAAAACATTACCTGAAGGCTGACCAATCCCCCCACTATAAGCATTTGAATTCAATTCTTAATCTGTAAAATGACCAGCGTTCCATAAGTAAGATGCACTTTTTTTTTTACAGTTGACTTCATGTTTTCATTCCTCTCTGAAGAATGGGAACAGCATGGATAGTAACAGCAAAGGCTTCCTGACATCCTCCTGTCAGCATACCCCAGCTCTGATAAGGAGTAGTCACAGAGCATTGGCTGGCCTCTGTGTCCATGAAATCCTCAGTGACTACTATTGAAATTTCCAGAAGAGGCGCTAGTGCTCGAGTGCTTGAAGTGATTAAAAACAAACAGAACAACTCTCTGTACATTTTTACTAGTAAATGTACTGCAAAGCTTTACAGAATTCAAATATCCTATACGTATTCCCAACTTTGCCCCTTGTGTGAAAAATCTCTTACTTAAATCAGAACAAATATCCCCAGCCCAAAGTGGTATCAAAGGAAATAACACAAAACATCTTGCCTCTGGGCCCTGACTTCCTTATCTTCCAAGCCAGTGCTCTCTTTAATAATGTTACAACACTCCCAGCACTTCTGCAGAAGACAAAGATGTTAAAAGCATAGCCATGTTAGCTGTCTCAAATGTCTGTCTGGGGGCAACAGTGTGTGGTAGTGTCTCCATGCTCAAAGGCAAGAGGCGTAGTTTTGGTGAGTTAACTTTCTTCAGCTAACTGGAGGTTAAAAAAAGTATGTGAAGACTTTCCAGAACACTTAGATATCTTTTGGCAGATCTCTACATGTATCTTTAGTCTTACCCAGCACTCTATTTCATTTTTCTGCTCTACTGTAAAGATAACTTAAACCCTATTGGAAACTTTTGTACAGTACAATGCAATTAGTATCTTGAATGCTTTGTTTTTCTTATTTTTATAGGCCTACACAGCTTCTGAAGGCATTTCTCATACATCAGAAAGACAGCTGGTAGAACTGATGCCTATTTGCCTGCAACTTTTAATTCAAGCATGGAATCTAAGACTGATAAATTTCTCTTTATCATTTCTGATTTACTTTAACTTGCTAGAAAGCCATCATTACTAGCATTCCTTATTTATTTCATCTCTAATTTTTTCAGTAAAAAATGTCATTTTAAATGCATTTTTCTTAAATAATGATGAAAACAAATCTAGAAAATTGTTTTAGAGAGGACGTTAACTGACAAATTTTAAAACTACATTAAACTCAAAATATAAAAACACCAATGTGAAAAGTAAAAATGCTGAGCTATGTCGGGAAGATCACATAATTTTAAATGCGATATTTCAAATGAAACCAATCCATATAAAAGAAAAAAAAACAAAAACCTTTTGTAACAACACCTGGAATCAGAAGCCACAGAGATACAGAGGATTCCCATAAGTGGGATGTGCAGCAAATCATCTCATTCTGTGTGTTTACTGATGCTTAAGAATTCTTTCCAGAAATGCATAAATATTTTATATGTTCCTTTCTTTAAATTCTTACTGCTTTGAACCTTCATCTCACTATTATTTTTTAATCTTTTCATCCTCCTTTTATGTCATTTTCTTTCACTTTTCTGGCTTTTCTATGATGTTAGATGTGGGCTCTTCCATCACTATTCAGACAGCGTATGTCTAGCTTAGTCTCACAGTCCTGATGAAACTCCTGCTAGGAAGAGTGGTAGAAACTCTTAATTTCAATACCATGAAGTATTTCTAGCCCCTCTCCCTTCCCTTCCCTTCCCTTAATGTGCTATGTTTACAACTTGCCCCACCGTACTTACGTGTATTAATTTTCTGGAGAGAAATGTGTTTTTCCAACTGACGTCGTAACTTCACTTCAGCTCCATATTTACCTAGAGTACCATTGTCTGCCAGAATGAAGTGGGTGTGGGAACTGTTGAGCACAGAAAGCTTGCTTAGAGGGTTTGACATTGTCTGGTAAACACGTGTTACCTGTCAAAAGATTAGGTGCACCGGGATTAGAACTATGAAATAAACATGAAAATCCTCCAGTGTCCAACAAAAGCACACACCTTATGAGGAAACAAATCAACCAGATGTTTATAATTGAAATCATAGGAGAATTAGAAAAAAGCTTGTCTTTATACTCAAAATTCGAACTTTTCACAGCACTGTTTTCATTGGAGGATAACAGTCGTGTTTGTACATTCTTTTACATTTTCACCTATTCTCATTGATGTACAGCCCTTGATCACACCCTTTCTCACTCTCACTGCTTTAGGAATTACATTCCTGCCTGGAGTCAGCAGAAATTAATGTACCACTGCTGAGTACCTTTCTATAATAAATGCAAGTCTTGTACACGTAAAAGCACTTAAATGATTTATGGAGCACTCAGCATAGACACAGTGAAGGTAGAACCTAAAACAAACTTTTGCCAGAGAGAACTTTAACACTGAAAGTAGTGTAAACCTCACTACCTCTGGGTATATTTGCTTAGCTATATATAGAATATGGATAGAATACTGTCAAATATGTTTGAACAACAGCTTTTCTTTAAGGAGATTTCTAATTTCAGCAGTGCTTTAGAAACTGTGAAAATTAATACTCCAAATAGATGAGTTGCCTATTTCATTACTTTGATTACATGTTAATTCCTTAAAGACTTACATCTTTTCCTATCAGATCTTCCTTGTTTTCTACAATGCCCCATGGTGCAATTCCTATGGCACAGATTCGTCCTCTGGATTTTGAAGAATGGTCTTTCAAGGCATCTCCCACATGACGAATGACACCTATAGATAAATCTCACTGAATTAAATCTTGTCCCTCTTGAGAGAGATTACCAAACATTGAATTTTTCCTCTTCTCACTGAGATCCCTGTTTTTCTGGGCTGCATTCACTACGTAAACTGGTATCTATTTAAAATAGAGCATGCAGTGCAGACAAACCCATGCTTGTATTTTGCAATTGCATGTAAACTGAGTGGCTTGTTTTTTTCATATCCTTACTCTGAATTCACTCATGTCTTGGACAGACTTACCCAGTTACTTAATTACACAGCATTCTTTGAAAATCTATTGTGTAATCAATATTAACACAAAATGAATTTTAAAAAATAACACCTGAAAAACCCCCAACAGTGAGAGGCTAATCAACCACTGATAAAAATGTACCATATCTGGTGGTAGATTCCTTGCTACTAAAATCAAAGACAATAACCTTTTTCAGAGGAAACACTGTGTAATGCAAATCAACACTGACACAGGAATATTTTACTGTCTGGGCTGGGTAGATTAATGAAAATCATTACAGTTCTATTTTTCTAGTCTAGTGGCTAATAATTCATTCATGAAGACTTAAATCTTACGCCTTTGGGAAAGAATAGTAACTGCAAATCAGTGAATTCTCAGGTAAACTAGAAGTGCTGGTAATTGTTTACCTGTACTAACACCTCCAGTGAAAATCCAGGCTCCGGTGGTCATGGCAGCCTTTATCAGACCTTTTCCAAATACTTGTTTCAGTTTCGGCTGCATTTCAAAGTTCTGGAGGCCTCCATGGACAGAGATTAAGAGTTTGGGCAATTCTAGTTGCCAGTCTTTCACCATGAGATGCAGCAGAGAATCTGGTTTGGTGTCATACGACACACGGATATACTGAAAAGATCAATGCAAGATATTATCTCTCTATTCTGTAAATTGTCCATTGACTAAGCACAGAATGATTATATTAAACCCCCAATTTTTAAAGAAGAATTTTACAAATTTTGATCAATTTAAGGTTAATTTTATCTGCTCTTTAGTAGAAATAGGTTGAAATGCTTTGCTATTAGGAATTTACTGGCAACAGATGAATTTAAAAGAACCGCTTTCTTCTCCCTTCCTTCAAAACTGACTATGAGCAAGCTCTTATAACAAACCTACACTGTTGGAGGCTAGCTGTTCTAAATGACTGGAAGTTGCTTTTTTATCTTTCCTAAAATCTTGGTTTGACTGCTAGAGACCCAGTGATCATTATGAGAAATAAGAGGCCTATGGTCTGGTTATCCCATTCACTGTGGATATAAGTATTCAATATCTGAAAGAACAGTTTCTACTACTCACAGTTCAATTCTGCCTTTGTGATACCTTTTCAACTACTACTCCATGAAACAAAACCACGGAACAAACTAGTGCTTATTTCTGCTTTAAAAACAAACCAATCAGCGCTAACAAAAATCAAGCCCTCCTATATATTTTAGACAAGTTTTTGCAGTGAGTTGTTTCAACTGACAGTCTTGGCAGAGAGATATGGAAGCAAATATAGAGAATAAATAATCCAGGTCTGAATCTGAGTGGCAAGACAGAAAGAGATTTTTTGCGGAAACTTGAATGCTGTTACTTGCACTGCTCAGAAAATTTAAAGGTTCGTTTTCCAGCTCCAAGAAGCTTCCGTCTTTCAGGAAAGCTAGACTCATTTCTATTTCTATTAGATGTTGAACCTTAAAAAAAATGTATATCCAGCCTGGGTTATTTGGCCCACAGTCTAACAAGCGTAGTACAGACAGAATCACCGGCACTACATGACTTCCCAGATGATATTTACTAACAGTAACTTTAGTGAAGCTGTTTCTTCAAGATATTTTCAGGTGCTTTCTAGGTAGGTATTATTTTTTTGTTCTCACTTCTCTCTTGCTTATTCTTTTTCATCATCCTGTCTACATCTTTCTTAAGAATTGAAGAGAATTCCTTTGGTTTCAACAAACTGTGTATTGTGCAAGCTGAAATCTTGGCAAGTTTCTATTGATCTAGCATATGAAATGAGTGTCACAGAGTTGGCTATGGCCTTACCATGGCCTTATTTGAATGTCCTCCTCCCTGGAATTCAAGATTTCCATAGGCATCAGTTGGGTACGTTTGGGTGTGTTTGCTGATGGACCACTTCTCTGGCTGAGCTTCCACTTGCTTTGTTTCTTCTCCATTTTTATTAGCTGTTGTACTTGGAGGAGGTGGAATATGCTGGTTAATGAGCTGGCCACAGCAGCACCTAAAAGTTAAAATTTTAAGTAAAATTGAATACAGTATCTTCAGTATCATTTTGTGATTAAAAAAAAAAAAATCATATATGTGATATTCAGCTGACCATGCCTGGCTCTACATGGATCACAGAAACATCTCTAGGTCATATCTGCCACATTTACGTACACACAAATGCCAGATTTACTAGCCTGCAAGTGTTTCCTTACAAGCAAGGACTATACATTTCACTTCACTTGTATAATAATCAGGATGGAATTTCTATGCTGAAAAGACAGGAGAAGAGTGCAGAACAGGAGCAGTGACTCTGTTTCATGCTCAGAGGGGCAGCTAGCATGGAACAAACAGTTACATTGTCCAAACATCTTGGACTGCAATTTAGATAGCTGACATAGCAGCACTTATTGTTTGAACTAAGAAATCCATTCCTCCTTGCAAAGTATTGTTATTGGTGATGCTGTCATCCAAACCTGTGAACAGTATCATTTACATCAGAACACACAATAGCACGTTCTTGCTTTCAAAATTCAGTATGACATTAAACTCTCATTTGCAATACTAAGAACTAACAGCTCACTGCCCCTCCTGCACAACTCTATAATCTCTGTATGCTACATCCTACAGCTCCATACAGACTAGGGTGAAATTATGCCTTGCACTTTTGTTGTCTATCAATCTCACCTTAAGGGCAACAAGTAAATTTGGTCCCACTTTCACCTGTCTAAACACAAATATAGTCCACTTTCATCATTATTAACTTTTCAGTCAAAGGCAAAAATTTCAAATGTTACCTGCTAATGTCTTTGTTGTTGGCAATTACATAAATGCATTCTCTTTTTGAAAAGGTCTTCTCTATCCAAGCCTTCTGACCCTTAAAGAGAGAAAAAAATAAAAGGAAAAATAATTAAATATTCCTGCGACAAATACAGTAACATTTCCATTCTATTTTTAAATACAAGCATTGAATTCAGTAAATCAGCTCTAAACACAACATACATCTACCCATGAAGCAAGTAGGTGATGTAAGTTTTCTATGACTTGGATAAAATTCAAACCTTGAACGTGTGTAAAAATCTCTAAACCCAAACATATTCACTTGATGGCACAAAGGTATCCAAAGCTCTTCCAAAAATGCAGTTGCTCCTTTCTAATTTAGTAATTAGTAAACGGACTGAAAGTAGTACAGAAATAGTACAGCCAAGCTGTGACAAAAAAACTGACAGCATTTAACCCAAACAATAATTTAGTAATATTATTTGTACAAAGAAATTGCTTCCCAAAAACTTTCTCTAATTTGATTAATAGTCTCTTATTTTCCTCTTTAAAATAAAGTTCTAGTTATTCCTAAAGTCATTCCTAACTCAGCAATAGCATATGTCTGGGGAGTAAGAAAGTGAATGAACATTTGACAGAAAAAAATACAAACTCTGCAGCTACGGTGACAACTGTGACACAAAATGAGGAAAACAATCTTGAAGACAAAATAAAATTTCCATTTTTGGTGTGTTTGTAAATTAGATTAAATTAGACCAATCTCACAACCATTTAAAAAGCATAAAGTGTAGGCAGCCTAGAACAGAACCTGTGCAATGAATCTGTACAATGAGGCTAGAAAGCCTACAGCAGAACTGCAGTCCAGTTAGGTCTGGGAATGGCGAAGGCTGTGGGTTTAGAAATGGCTGCAGGCCAGTTTCCCATACTTTTGGGCTTGTCCATCCATCATCAGTAAGGCAAAGTACCATTATGACTGGCATACTAAACGAATTTCATAAAGAAAATTCAAAAGGAACTTTTAAACTAAAAAGGTTATTAAATTAAAAATGTTAAAGCACTCACAACTTTATGATGTGAATAGACTTGCCTTGCTGCTTCTGAGTTTGAATTAAGGAACTAGTATTAATGCATTTTTCAAGTAATAAGCAAAAGCCATGTGTTTTAGTTTCCCCTACAGAAATGAAATCTTTGCAGAGACAAAACACTAAAAATGACGTGAACTTTCAGCGCTCCGTCATTAAAAAAATGGGACCTCCCTAGAAAAGTAGTAAAATCCTCACCTGATTTCCTGAATAAAATGAATGGCAGATTTCTGTTAGAAGAAAGCTCTGACAGTCTGGTAATAGCTTAGAAAGCAGAGTAGCCCCCTAAGTGCTGCACAGCCTACAGCATGATGAATAAATGAATCCCGAACGACAAAGCCTCCAAACTCACTGCCCTTTTACCATTACGTTCAGTGGTGTTGGTGTTACACGTGCTTTTGTGTACCATGCTAACTTACGGAATGTTAAGGTTATAGAACAAGCTTAACAGGATCCTTATACAATTGGTCACATCCACTTTTTTTTTTTAATTTGCCTTGTTAAATAAGAACCTGTGTTTTTTTTTGTCTGAATAAATTTTTGCATTGGTGTGCAAATCATTGATCAATTGACAGAAATGCCCAAATCAGTTTACAGGGTGGGGTGCATTCTCCACTACACAGCTGGCAACAGATGTTTCCTGTTTAACTCTTCTGTAGAGAACGCTGGAGAATCGAAGCTATGATATCAGAACAACTTGGATTTTCACACCATGTCATTGATTATTGCTTTACCTCATAGCTTGCCAAAGAACAAATTTTTCTATTTCGTGTACTTCACATGGAAATAACTACTTAGCTGCTGAATTAAATCATAGATTTAATATTTGTGTTTGGACAGAAGCTTTTGCATCTTAGTATCTAAAATGAAAATATTATATTTTCACACCTAAAAACCCCGCTGGAGTTCAGTCACTATAGGAACTACAGTTGGACAACACATTATGCTCCACTGGTTTATTTTTTCAGTGCTAACGAGAGGAAGGCAAAAGCAGGCATTACAGATCACGAGAAATAAAAAGTCAGCACATTCAGTCAGCCTTTGAAGTTTCACTGCTTTTGTCTGCTTAATCTGCTTAACCAAAGCTTGATTATAATCCAGTGCAAATACTTGAGCAGATATTCAGTGTCAGAAAACGGGTAATTTCCCCACTTGTTTGATACAGATTCTGTACATGCCTATGTCTGGATTGAAATGAGAAAAAATGCAAGGATGTACACTGTCCCTCATGAGTTTTTAAACAATTAAGCACTTTTTAAAAGCCTTGGAATGGATAGGTTCTGAAAGAACTCTGGCTGATCAGCTACAGTTTTTACACTAGTTTTTAGAAACAGGAGTGTTGGGTTGCAAGAGAAATAAATGCTACTAGCAAGACAGAGGCAACCAAAAACACTGCAGGTTTTCCACAGACCTCTGAGAAACAACTTAAAATAACAGCAAGACCCCAACTTGCTGATAGTAATCAAGTTCAATCCTATTTATTATTGCAAATTCCGGATGTACCTATCAGCACCTGATCTTGGAAAAATCATGCTTTAGATGCTCAATAACGTTTGTTCTCTTCTATGAAAACTGACTACAGGTCTCCCAAGTTATAATCAAAACCAATTCAAACCACTTCAAATTCTTGCTTGTCATGGATTTTTTTCGGTCCCAATAGCACTGAAAGAGGGCTTTCAGAGAAGACTTTAGTTTGTACATAAGTTAACTATTGAGTTAACAAAACTAAGATTCAAAAGAATATCTCCTTTAGAGCACGAGCATTAATAAACACAAGAATTAGTTCTACAAAGATCAGTTGTTCCTGTAATATCATAAGTGAACTCCACTGTTTGCTGGTAAGTGAAAAAATGTTGAGGGGAAGGAGGGCAGAGATGAAGGTTACAGTGTCATTGGAACACATTCAAAACCCAAACTCAACCAGACCTAAAAGCAGTGTGATCAGACCTCTCAACTGTAACGTTCTCTAATAAATGATGCTCCATGCAATATGGACCTGCTTTTGCTGGACAGGCTGGCAAGCCTGGCAGGCTGAGCACGGGATGGGATGAAGCTTTGCCCCTGTTGTGCAGTCAGACAGCATTCACTGTAGGACATCTCTTTGGCACCTGAGGCCCTTCTGTAAGAGCAAATGCTCCCAGCTGCTGTGCTCCAGTGAAGCTCTGTCATGCTGGGCACAGCTGGGCAGCAGAGAAGCCAGCCCACAGACAGCAGCACCTGGTGTACAGAGCCATGGATAGATGCAATGAGGGAGGAGACAAGAGGCCAAAAAAGTGTTAGGCGAAAAACAGGCTAAAGTAAACACAGAATAATATAAAAATGGAGTTGGCTGGGCAGCAGTTTATTTTGATGAGAAAGAAAGAAATAACCAGAAGTGGAATGAAATTCAGACTGTGAACATGTGTGGTGTAAGCACACGTCCATTTGTTGTGTGAACAAGTCTGCAGACTTCTATAAATACCATTCAGGTAATCAAATTCCACTGCTGTTATCTGAGGGGGAAATAAAACCCACAACAACTCTGCCCAATAATCAATTAGGAAAAAAGAAATCACTGTATCAGCAGAATCTCTACTGTCTGGAACTTAAAATTCAATACTAGAGGGATTTCTACTTCGAGCTGCTTTGAATGACAACTTCCCAATTATACTGTCTAATAGCCGGTCCTTTTCAGGGGGTCATAAATGGGACATCTGGAAGCACCAGTGTACATGCTGTGTCACGGTACACAGCTTCTCAGCTTTAGAGCAGAGTCATGTCTGGCCAGCAGTTCTTGTGCTTTTTCTCATTTGCAAGCATTGAAGCACCATCCCTAGATAAGTACTTCTCTAGTTTTGCTTTCTTCCAGAAATAAGCACCTTCTTTTCTCTGCAGCTGAAGAACCTGCAAGTGGCTATATGTGAGGTGCATTTCCAAACGAGCTATCCTTTTATCTCAAATCCACTACAGATATCCGTGGGTCTCTTCTACATATCCAGTTTGCACAGGTTCATGCTGAATTTGCAATAGACTCTGCTTTCCAAGACTGGTGGGGTTAGTTCCCTTTACTACTCCAGTGCTCACTGGGATGCTACTGAGAATGTGAAATATTAAATAATATTTGCAACAAGGAGGATCTCCTATGTTGTTTGCATCAAAAAGGGAGTAAAGATAGTTACAAGATTCCTTCAAATGAAAGTCTTTTTCATCAAAACAATTCTTGTTCTCATCCCAAGATAAGTTTCATATGATTCAAATTGACCCTGTGTTCTTCCAGCAAGATAACCAGGGAACCATTTGGTCCGTGAACAAAGCAAACAACACAGGCAAGATGGCAGTGCCAGTTAGCAATACTGTTATCACAGAAAAAACCTGTCATCTGAATTATCTCAAACTCAGCCAGAAATCACTCCTGCTGATGATGTGGAAGCCAATAAACAGTGTTTCATGCCTTCATTATGCTTTGTGTTCTGGACTGGCTGGTGAGGCAGGCAGCAAGCATCTGCCAAAACAATAGGAATCATTTCCTGTCCACTTGAATTAGTTTGTGGATACAGGATACAGAAAGGAAATAATAGGCTCTCCTTCCCCAAATTTACGCAATCCTACCACATCTTGTGGAGATTCTGCTTTCCCAGAAGCTATGGAAAAGTGAGCAGTGACTGTAGCCTCAACACCACAGCAGAGTTGGCTTGCTCTGCCATGGTTGTGTACATCCAGCTCTGGCACACAGTCTGTGAAGGCGCATTAGTAAAGAGTGCTGGCTGAGCCTGGATGCCCAACATAAAAGCACATAAAGCTGCTTGGGTACAGCTCAGCATCAATGTAAGGACACAGCTGGCACAGCGAAAACAAAGCAACTCAACAACCATTTGGAGAACAGAGCTGAAAAACCAGTCTATTCTAACCTGAAATAGAGAAATGCTATTATCGAAGAATATTTCTATGCTTCAATATCCTCAAATCTCACTTTGTGAAACTGATCAATACTCATGAAATCATAAGCATAACAAAATACTTCCCTCATTACAATACT